CGTCCACATTACAGGACAGGTTCCAATACGCAGATGCATAACTTTTTATATATTAACTTTTTATGTTATAGAACCCGGTAAACAATTTAAGGATATTTTCTACAAAGGAGAAGCAAAATTAAATTCAATTAATGCCAAATCGTTTTGAGGTTTTGGAAAACGTTGCCAGACTTGATAAAATAATATGATCAATATCGGTTTTGACACGAATGCTTTATTATTTAGAGTGATGAATCTTATGTTTCTACCTTTATATGCAATGTGCATTATGAAAATAAGAATTTAAGTAAATCTCGCAGCTGTAGGAGAACAGTATTACCTTTTTATATTGAAAGCAGAAAGGTGATTGCTTGTTCTTTTCAACTTCATCATTAATATAATATATCCTGTATATTTGAAAATTACACGTCGAGTTCGTGACATTTTAAGTTATTCTATTTCAGCTTCATTTCTATCTTTTCTTCTGAAATTAATTTTTCAGGTGTTTTCACAGTACCAAAGGAAGCTGTATACATGTTTTACCTAGCGTTTTGTGCTGGTTATGAGCCCTATAAATTGTGGATGCACATTGTGGTTGACAGCCAAGGGAAAGTTGCCGGTGTAGCAGACACGTTAAGTGCTGGACACGACGCTCAAGGCACAAATTTTATTGTGCTACACTTACATAAGGGGGACTCTGTATGGGTAACAACATTTGTGTATGGAGATGTTAAGATCTATGGTTCTCTAGGTTTCACTTCGTTGTCTGGAGTTTTGTTGTATGAATAAAAAAAGAAATATAGGCACACATGATGAAAAGAATATTGTTGATTTTGTTTGGCACTATAGACCCTAAGACGGATTTATTTTCGGGAGGTTTTCCTTTAGTTTCCGACTCATGCATTCATATGTAATGATGGTAAAGCTGTAATTTAATAAGTGGTAAGTATAAGGGGAGGTGATCATGTAGCTAGTTGAATTAGTATTAAAATTGAGTAACTTATCATCTTTATCTTCAGCAAGCACGTGTAAACCAATGGGGAAAAATAAGTACAACATTGAATTTATCATAGCTCATGAACAATATTTATAGCCTTTAATTTTTCGGACGTTTACGTCATGAAATGAGCGAAATATCAAAAACATGAAATGTAGATTTGTTAAGGGAACGGCACTGATCTGCCTTCAAATAATAATATTTAACGAATAATAACAAAATTTAAATCGCAAAATCACCGATTTCTACAAATCAGTAGGCACGGCCATGTTTGTGCATTGGCCGTATAAAAACAGGTGCGCGTGATGTCATTACCCCAATCTTTAGATTTATGATAAATATCTCCCGGTAGGAAGTTAGCAGTAGCACAGCAATAGCAGTAGCAAAATTATAAAACGTGAAGTTAACAGTAGGGTGGCTCAGCAGTAACAGTAGCAAAATAATAAAACGTGAAATTGGCAGTAGCAGTTACTCAGCAGTAGCAGTAGCAAAATTATAAAACGTAAAGTTGGCAGTAGCAGTAGCTCAGCAGTAGCAAAATTATAAAACATGCAATTGGCAGGAGCACTAGCTCCGCAGAAGCAGTATGAAAATTATAATACTTGAAGTTAGCAGTGGCAAAACTATTAAACGTGAAATTGGCAGTAGCAGTACCTCAGGAGTAGCAGTTGCAAAATTATGAAAAAAATGAAATTGGCAGTAGCAGTGGCACAGCAGTAGCAGTAGCAAAATTGTAAAACATGAAGTTGGCAGAAGCAGTAGCTTAGCAGAAGCAGAAGCATAATTTTAAAACGTGCAGTTGACAGTAGCAGTAGCTCAAGAGTAGCAGTAGCATAATTATAAAGCGTGAAAGTGGCAGTAATAAGTAGCACAGAAGTAGCAATAGCAAAATTATAAAACGTGAAATTGGCAGTAACAGTAGCTCATAAATAGCAGTAGCATAATTATAAAACATTATCATAAAACGTGAAGTTGGCAATAACAGTAGCGCAGCAATAGCAGTAGCAAAAAAATGAAGTTGGCAGTAGCAGTAGCTCAGGAGTATCAGTAGCATAATGTTAACAGTAGCAGTAGCTCAGGAGTAGCAGTAGCCATTCTCTGCTAAAACAATTTAGCGATGGACAGAAAAAATATGTTATGTAACGTTGAACTTAAGAATGTTTTAACTGTGTTTTTCTTTTTAATACAACCAGTTTTTAATCATCGCAAATCCAAATAAGATACAAAATATCTCGATGTGCTGCCTTGTCCATGTTGTGTGTGTTCAAACATACCAGTTGTATTGATTAAATGTACACACGACACGCATTGCAATTTCCTGCTTATTTGTCTCTGGTGCCTGCGTTTGTGTCTGAAATAATGCATGGCAGGGCACTTGATATCTTCCTCCACCGGTAAAGCTGGAACGTCGCCATATGACCTTTACTGTGTCGGTGTGACGTAAAACCCAAACAAATCAACATAAAATCAAAAATTATTCGTCAGTTTTATAACATAACCAATAAACATACAACAATAAAGGTAAAAACTAACTTGAGTGAAATAATTTATTCGGATAACATCCGACTGGCATGAATATGTTGTAATCTTTCCTTCTATTTGCATTTCTTTTTTATACATATAAATATAATTAGCTATTTGCGCTAAATCTTCCTCTTTCGATTTAAGGATACAAATAAGATGTTTGTTACATGCAATGTGTGCTGGTTACATACATTTTTTAAGTTAAATGGAAAATGTCTTGGTTGCATGGAAATGTGTGTTCGTTAAAGCTTTTGTAGATTATTTAGAAACTATCATGGTTACTTGGAATGAATACATTTTTGTAGATGATATGGAAAATGTATTTGAATTTGATTCGTCTTTAACAGCCCAGCAGAACAGCAATAACATACTGATAAAACAACTTTTAACCATCCTCTGAATACCTATGCTCTTTGATGCGTCCTGTAACACAAAAGAAGTGACAATTATTGATGCTTCGTTTCACTTATCTAGTTTTATTTAACCACATTGGATTTAAATAGAAGTAGATAATAATCATCCTACGCGGTGTAATATTACTTCCAAAAATTCTATTTATCCGTCGACAAGCATTCTTTTAATAGTTTTAATGTAATTTACATTGTCATTATTCGTTGAAACCTACATTTATATAATGACAGATAAGGTTAATTATTCATGAATATTACATTGCCGTTTCACATTTTTTTGTGCCTGATTTGCGATTGGATGAAATTTCAACCAATTACATTCCAGGTTTTATAATTTATTCAACTTTTTACACTTATTTCAATTTACTACGGTACATTAACAATAAACTACCACGGTTCTTTTGGATAAACTTGAAGTATAAGCGTTTTTGCCAATTTAAAAGAGTAAAACAAAATCTTTAAACCCATCCCTATCATATTCTATTATTTACCACAGGTGATTTGAATTTAAAGCAATTACTGTGCAGACCTGTGCCAACAAATATAAATAGAACATGAGATATATCTAAAAGAGTGGATTCATGGTCCAATGGTGACGCGTTGGACGGATAATCCATTTTTCATTCCCGCTCCAAAAATAACAACACATGAATTTAAATCGTAGACCCGTGTATCAGTGAAATTTTCTGTAGCCCATGCACTGTCATTAATGATATTTCTCCATCGAGAAATTAGGTAAAATCCACTTAAAGCAAATTTGTTACGTCTTTATAACAATTCATAAGATAATGTTGACAAAAACGAATACTACATTTTTTTAGTACGTTTATAAACTTATTTATATCTACTTCAAATGTTGTTTTATAAAATTAATACAAAAACAGACATATGTTTATATTACTTATTATTTGTAAGTCGTTCCAATAATCTGATAAACCACGTTCTTCTAATTTTTTGTGGTTTTCATTAAGAATACCTATAGATAAGACATTTTGAACTTCATTTTGTTTAGCATTAACATTTACCTTTATTTTTTTTGAATTTCAAACAAGTACCTGATCATGTTTTTTTTCCCTAGTTTTATTGGTTCCCTACCAAGTTCGTCATAAAGTCCTGCCAAATTTGTTGAGCTAATTACAAGGGGTATTTTTGAAAAGAATTATGTTGGTATTTTCTTTTAAAAAATATCATAACCCTAAATATAGTTCAACATATCGTGGAAAAATATATTTATGATTGTTGGCACCAATGCGTCAAGGGATCTTCGTTTCGATTCAAATTTCTTACGACACGTGCGCGCGGGCAAAATGTAATATCACAGGTTGACATAACGAATTGCTTCATTATACATACGTATATATCATATTAGACAGGAAAGGTCACAATAACATAAGTAAATGGGTACGGGTCAGAGTCAGCACTTTTCGCTATTTAACTATTGTTTTCACTTCTTTTGACGGCTCTTCCTGCTTTCAGATCTTCTTCAAAATAAATTGTTATGTAAAAACTTCTTAGATACATCATAATCTAACAATTCAGACCTATATACTCAGATATGCAATGTAATTTGAAACCTATTTCTGTGTTCACAAAAAAAACAATCCATCAATCAGATATAGTTTTTGTCTGTTTCCACTTATACTAGTCATTATAAAACTATAACAATCCAAATTATATTCACTGAACTGACGCATATAGATATTGAGCTTTAATGCAGGGAAAATGATGTCGAGTTTGACTCAAGTGTAACACAACAACAACACAACAACAACACAACAACAACACTACAATTATGGTCAATTTTCAGCCAAGTAGTTTCTGTCTACAATGTCAGTGTTTCGTTGGAATAAAGCGAATAACCCGTTTTTTGTATCTAACATTCTTATTTTCCGTAAATTCAGTTTCATATAAATAGAAAAGTTTGTATTCATTGATTTTTATGTTGATCATATGTATATCGCTTAGAATGTATGAACATAGTTTATAAATTCTTTACTTTTAACTTGCTCATTATTACAATGTTTGGTTTAAACTACGCGTAATAATTTCATATAAATACATTTTGTAACTTGATACCCGGCGTTCAAATGAATAGAAAAGCAGTAATTTGTATAAAATTGCGTTATTGTGATCGTAATACTGCTTTATGGCAAACGCGTTATTCTATTTGAAATTTTAAAGAAAAACAAATAAATTGATTTTCTACTTTAACTTACTCGATCATCTTGTTTTAACATAAATATGAACATTTACGCTTTCTTGCTGCCGTTTTTGACAGTTTTTGTTCTTGTTGAAAGGGTTCATCTACAGGTAATAAATGTAAATGGGGATTTAACAATTGTCGGATTATTCCAAGTGCACAAACCAGAAGGGGATTCGTGCGGATTAGGCCTGAGCGCTGCCTCTGTGATGACGTCAGAGGCGGTGAAATGGTACATTGAAGGATTAAACCAATATGGCAAACTTCCTTTTAAAATTGGTGGGCATGTTTGAAGTTTAATTTACAAAACCTTTTTTTCTTATACCGAGACGAGACTTTTACTGTACACTTAGGTTAGAAAGAATAAATAACTGTCTTAATTATGAAATGCTCGTTCGTAATTCGTAATTTCGTACTGAACATCATTGTATAATTATTTTTATTGTAACGATCCTTTTTTTAATTTTTGATGTGAGTTCGTTTTTTCCTGCATTATAATACAGTTGCTGTTAATGTTAATTATTCTGTTTGTGTCCCTTAATTTCAATTATAAGAAAAGTTTTTCCATTGCCTATTTTGGTCTTTTAAAATAAACGGACACATTTTACTTTACCCTGTTTATTTTTTGTTATTTACTAGTCAAGCCTTGAAACTGGTTTTTAATTAGCTTTCTTCGTTTGCTGATTCTTAAAAAAATAATTGATAAATTACAAAATACAAAGCTTGAAATAAATAAATAAATTGATTATTTAACTGGTTAGTTTATTTACTTATTTATTTATTTATTTATTTATTTGTTGTATTTTTGGCGTATATTCTTGCAAATATGGTTTCTTATAATCAGCATAATATATGATAAATTTCTAAAGAACAAAAAATACATGTATACATATTGTGTTATATGGCCAGTTCTGACCAGAATAACATTTTTTTCTATTTGAATCATTCAGATATGGATAATCTAAAATGGAACTTCAAACCATATTATTGTCTTTTGTCTAATATCTACGGGTTGTTAAATTCATAACATTTTGAGTATTAGAATTATCTATGTACACACTTATATGTATATTGTAAATTCGTAAATATATTAGCCGCGTCATGACAAAACCAACATAGTTCGTATGCGACCAGCATGGATCCAGACCAGCCTGCGCAGTCTGATCAGGATCCATGCTGTTCGCTTACAGACCCTATAACAACAAGAGAAACTGATAGCGAACAGATCAGACTACGCGGATGCACAGGCTGGTCTGGTTCCATGCTGGTCGCAAACGCATAATGTTTGTTTTGTCATGACGCGGCTCATATGTAAATTACAGGCTTCGAAGGGCATGAAACGTGTGGTCTGGTGAGCAAAGCATCTGAGATTTCCATCAAACTGATGAACAAGGCGCTTACAAATAAAACTATCCTAGGTAACTAGTCATATTATGTAAATTTTTAGTGTCTGATAGACATTTTTTTATTATTTAAACTTAAGTAGTAATGCATAATATATATGCATTTATCAGGCACGAAGGGAAATTTAGGTAGAACCTTCGCCCTTGCGTTAGCGAGGTACCCTCTTCTCACATCAGCTGCCATTTGTTTATTTCATCGTTTCTAGTGCCAAGATATGCTGATAACTAAATATTTCTTTACATAAGAAAACTCAACATTAATATGATATATAGTAAATTCAAGATAACACCTAATATATACATCAAAGTCAATGTTGTGCCATACTCCTGTGCAGATTTACCCTTCATTGAGCTTTCCCAACCATTGTTTTAACCAAATTATATTCTTGAAGCATAATGCATTCATCACAATAGATCAAAAGTGCGGTTTTAGAAAATCTTTATTACGCAATAAATTCATTCTATACATTTCCGACATAAACCTTCAAATATTTTGGTGTGATTCTTTAACGATATGTCATTTCAGTTTTTATTAATGGATGTTTCAACTTAATGTACCTGATTTGTGAAGCGTATCAAGTTATGCTATAATTTTTAAATTAATGTTCGTAAATGTGCTCTATGAAATACACTATACAGTCGCAGCCATTAACTATAACTTAAATCAACTATTTAAAGTGACTTTACATAGCATTATTTGTTCAAAAAACGGCGTGTTTCTTCACAAAAGTCGCATCCGAGGTATTTTCATACTGCGTGTTTGTAATATCAGTTTAATGGCAAATCTTGCTGGTTTACAACGAAGCTGCAAATATATTCGTTTTTATTTCATTTAAATCGTACATTATTATAAATTCTTTAAAATATATTTGACAGTTTACGCATAAACAGCAATTAACTATATTTATTACACTAACGTTCGCCTTAGTCCTCGTGTAACACTACATTATTTTACATATAGCTTGATAAAATATGTTGAAATGCCATATAGCATACCAAAATCTATAAATAGGCCCATATAACCTGTCTAAATCTGTTAATATGCCATATAACCTGTCTTAATCTGTTGATATGCCATATAATATGTCAAAATCTGTTAATATGCCATATAACATGTCAAAATATGTTAATATGCCATATGCCATGTCTAAATCTGTTAATATGCCATATAACATGTCAAAATCTTTTATTATGCCATATGACATGTCTAAATCTGTTAATACGCCATAGATCATGTCAAAATATGTTAATAGGCCATATAACCTGTTACAAAATCTGTTAATAGAATATATATAACATGTCAAAATATGTTAATATATAGAGACTAGTATATGTACACAGTGTAACCGCAATAAGCTGCTGTTCTTCGAGAAACATATTGAGTCAAAATAATGAATGGAAATCAACATATCATCGTTTGTAAACATATATAACTATATTGCATTTTATATTTTGAAAATGATCACAGTCACTTACCGTATTGGCTTCATTTTGTCTCAATTTAAGGAGTAATTGGTCCTGAATTCAGTTCTGAAGCAGAAGCTATTTCCCCGATTCTAAGCTCAGTTACAAAGGAGAGTCGTTTAGTTCAGGTGGGATTTTCAACTACCGCAGCACGGCTTGGAGATACTGAAAAATATCCGAACTTTGTGCGAGTCGTCCCGAATGATGACGTACAAGTTGAGGTATGTTGTCACCATCATAATTATAATTATCATCATCATCATCACTGTCATCATCATCATCATCAGTCATCATTATCATTTAGCATTTACACTTTTTTTATTTTAGTTAAATTGTTCCGATTACGGTATGCGACTTATAAAATGTCAGTTATAAGGTAAGGTAATAAAATGTCAGCTACAAATCAATGTCACCACACTTTAAAATGTATAACAAAATGTCACGCCCGTTTAACTCACAACGAGTGAAAAATGTCCATCGGTTAAAATGTTGTGAGCAACTTCCGTTCCTCGTTGTGAGCATCCAACTTTGACGTGAAGCACGATAAGCAAGGTGAGTTTTTCATAATTTTCTAAGATTACAGACATTTATATAAAAATATCGGAATGCAGTTAGCTAGCGATGTGTTTTCCGAGTATGCACATGTAAAGATATTGCCTGTTGGTGGACAATTTGATGGAAATACCGTGCGACGCAGTCACTCGGGATAGCTGGAAAACTGGAGACAACTTCTCTTTGGACCTAATTAAACATTGAAAACGTCGATTCTGGTGACGTTTTGTGCATTCTAACATAAAACAGATGCCCACAAGTCTTCAGCGTAAATTATAATCTGAAAGTCTTCATAGAAACGAAGATATACCCCTTTTTGCTTTAATCCTCGTTGTGAGCACCATAACCTCGTTGTGAGCAAGACAAGCGCAGTGCGTGTATGGTTTCAATATGTTATTCAGATGGTGAAAATATAATTTTCAATCTACCAAAGCAATTAAAACGTTTTACATAGCCACATTTCTTTGCAAGATGTTGTGCATACCCCAAAGGGAGGCATATTAGTTTTGAATTGTCCGTCTGTCAGTCCGTCAATCTGTCCGAAAACTAAACATTGGCCATAACTTCCTTATTAGTGAACGGATTTGATTAATATTTGAACACAACATCCCTTAGCACAAGACCTTCCTACGGATCTGTATTGTTTTACCTTGGCCCCTGAATGGCCTTTACCTTGAAGGTCAAGTTGTCCCAAAACTTAAAAAATGGTCATATCTTCCTTATTAGCATACAGATTCTACTCATATTTTGAAACAACACCCCTTTAGGCAAGACCTTCAAACTGATCTGGTTTTTTTACCTTGTACCCTGAATGACCTTCTAGATCATCCAAAAACTTTAACATTGGTCATAACTTCTTTATAAGTAGGCTAAGTGGAATTAATTCACATTGGTCATAATTAACTTCTTTATAAGTAAGTGGAATAAGTTCATATTTGGACACAATGCCCCTTTGGACAAGATCTTCCAACTGACCTATAAATAGGCCCATATAACCTGTCTAAATCTGTTAATATGCCATATACCCTGTCTTAATCTGTTGATATGCCATATAATATGTCAAAAATCTGTTAATATGCCATATAACATGTCGAAATATGTTAATATGCCATGTCTAAATCTGTTAATATGCCATATAACATGTCAAAATCTTTTATTATGCCATATGACATGTCTAAATCTGTTAATACGCCATAGATCATGTCAAAATATGTTAATAGGCCATATAACCTGTTACAAAATCTGTTAATAGGATATATATAACATGTCAAAATATGTTAATATATAGAGACTAGTATATGTACACAGTGTAACCGCAATAAGCTGCTGTTCTTCGAGAAACATATTGAGTCAAAATAATGAATAGAAATCAACATATCATCGTTTGTAAACATATATAAACTGATCACATTCACTTACCGTATTGGTTTCTTTTTTGTCTTCAGGAGTTATTGGTCCTGAATTTAGTTCTGAAGCAGAAGCTATTTCACCGATTCTAAGCTCAGTTACAAAGGAGAGTCGTTTAGTTCAGGTGGGATTTTCAACTACCGCAGCACGGCTTGGAGATACTGAAAAATATCCGAACTTTGTGCGAGTCGTTCCGAATGATGACGTACAAGTTGAGGTATGTTGTCACCATCATAATTATAATTATCATCATCATCATCACTGTCATCATCATCATCATTTTCAGTCATCATTATCATTTAGCATTTACACTTTTTTTATTTTAGTTAAATTGTTCCGATTACGGTATGCGACTTATAAAATGTCAGTTATAAGGTAAGGTAATAAAAGCTACAAATCAATGTCACCACACTTTAAAATATATAACAAAATGTGCAGGTATGTTAGGTTAAATGATTTCTATAAAAGGAGCATTCATTCATTCATTCATTCATTCATTCAGTCAGTCAGTCAGTCAGTCAGTCATTTATTTATTTATTTAATTATTCATTCTTTCAATCAATCAATCAATTGATCGATCAATTAATAAATCTTTCATTCAATCAATTACCCTTTCATAAGTTAATTAATTAATTAATTAATTAATTAAATTATTTATTTATTTATTTATTTATTCATTCATTTTTTATATGTGGTAGTGTTGTATTGTACAACAAGGTCCTTTAATGTCAAAATAACATATTTACGGAATACTGATTATTCTTGTTTTGAAAACCCGTTATATTTGATTGACAGGTTCAATCCGAAATGTAGGGTATTATTTTACAGAGGAAACTCGATATCCCTTCGATAACATCGGCCAATATTGTAAATATCTTTTATCAATGCTTTATCGGTGCCATCTTAATAAAGTGTTTGGAACGTGTGTTTATGAAGTATAAGATGAAATGGGGTAAATGTCAAAATGTTAGATGAGATAATCATATTTATCTCTTTAAATAAGGTATCATAATTCAGACCTATTTAAATGTTATGTTTGTTTTTTGTTCATTTTAGGTAGAAAAAAATAATGTTACCATTAGAGGTAATAAAGATAAACAGTATTGAAGATTGAAGACAAGTGTTGAAACATAATAAATATAGTCGTTATAGAAATAATGATAAATATTTATTTATAATGCACAAGAATGGCATTGTGATAGAACAACATAAAATGAGAATCATAATAAAAACAATATTGATATAAAAAATGATTAAAAGATGTATATAAAAAGATGACTTTTCAAAAAGTGACTATAAAAAGACTATTGTTAACATATTATGTTTTCAAAATGATAATGGTGAAAGGGTTATCATAGTTATAACTAGTTTGATGTTGTTGGTAGTTTTTACACAACTACACATTCATTGTTAAGTATTCGATAACTTTATGTTGAGCACTAAAGAATATTGATAAAATATTAATAACATAAATTGTATCCCCACAAAACGTGCACGTTTTATCACAATTACATTGTCTCAACCGCATCTACCCCGGTATAATGTTTCTTTTCTTTATTATTCTCTTCGTTTCTTTTGATCCTGCTACATATTCTTCACCTTTTGTATCTATTATTTCACCCCATTTTGATTTTTTTTTTCATCTTGCCACCCTCCTATTTCTGCTATACCACCTACTTCTTTTTCGCTTTCTTTTGCTTCAACTGTTTCTTCTCCCCTTTTTTGCTCCCAATTTTCTTTCCTTATCTTCTTTTATTTATATTCTTCTTGACATCGCTTTCTTTTCGTTGTTCTTCTCCGTTTTATATTGGTAAAAAAAAGCATTCGAATATTAATCGGATACGTTATAGAAAGCACGGGGGTTTATTTTTTCTGCCAAAGTAATATCACACTATTAAAATAATAATTATTTTGTTTTTTTGCCCTGTTTTTCTTTCTTTATTCATTTTTTATTTGAAAATTATCTGTAATTATGTCTGTTGTAAAGCCATTTAGTGGTTTTCCTTGACATTTCAACCTTTTAAAAGAAAAAAATGTTTAAATTCAAATCTGTCTAATTGTTCTATTGGATGTTTACCTCAACCAAATAACTGACTTGATTTAAATCTTCTGAAAGACCATTGAACCTTCAACTTAAAATATAGCATTATGGTACGTATCTTTCCGTTGGTGTTTTTTGTTTTAAGTTTTCATTATTTTTTGCATTTTACTCTTTTAAGCAAAATAGAGATTTTATTTCCTGCAGTTAAATATGACGAATTTCAAGTTTGTATGCACAACACAAAAAAAAACATCAAAAAACAAAAAACGGAATAAATAACATCTTTATGCAAACAAAATCAATGCTTACCTCACGTTCGCTATTTGCACAAACAACAACAACAACAAACAATGATATCAAAAGATAATCGACCGAAGTAATTCTATGCATATAGAATTGCACAACAATGACATAATGATTTCTTGTAGCTAAAAAACAAATGTGAAAATAGAAATTAAATTATAAGCATATTGATATTGATGTCTCTTCAAAGTAGGGCAACTTCTATTTTACAGTATTTATTTAGGTGTCCCTATTACTTGTTTTTACGTTTGACATTATAAATTGTGTTATCATATTCGTTTTTGACGGCCTCATGAAAAGAATCACATATAAAATATTGCAAAAAGAAATAAAACGATAATGGATAGGAAATACTTGGGAACAACACTGAAAATTCGAAAAACAATCTTTATTACGTTTAAATGCTTTTGTGATAATTCACAGAATAATCTATGGATAGATTTAGCAATGGTTATCAATCTTTAAAAAAAGGAACACTATTAAATGTACATGTATATATGTATGTACCTAAATGAACAAGTCATGTTTCATTTCCGACATCTACGCAATCAGTAGGCAATTATATTTAAAAAAAACAAAACTCGAATAATATACAAATGTATATGAAAATTATAAACACTATATCAATTGGACACATTAATGATTATTCAAAATAATAGACACTTATTGAACAGCATAAACTGAGGGTACCTGATAAGTTCCGTTCTTTTGGTGCGTCTTTCTATTTAAAGTGCGTACTTATTGCCTAGTAATATAATGAGATCTTAACAAAGTGTAAACTATTTTATTGAAGAAAGGATATAGTTAAACAGAACTTAAATATCTAACCATTTAACTAAAAAGTTAAAAAAAACCTACCCTGTACATTTTATTTTATAATGGCAAAAACCATCTTTTTCAATTTATTTTAGAACTCCTTAAAATTATGTTTTATAATGGTAAGAACTATCCTTTACATTTTATTTTAGAAATATCCTTAAAAAATTATTTTAGAATGGCAAGAAGTATCCTTTATATTTCATTTTATAACGGCAAGTAATATCCTTTACATTTTATTTAAGAACTATTCTTAAAATTTTATTTTTATAATGGCAAGAACTACTAACTATTTATTTTCAAAATGGCCACTGAAATTCACAGATTTCAGTTTTTCCATCTTTTGGCGTCATTATATATGTGTCATTTGAGATTTTAGTGCTAATGCATTATCTTTTGAAACACTCCCAGTGTGTCATTCGTGAGACTAACAGCTCAAAAATTTGTCTTTTAAATATGTGTAGGACAAGCTTTGATTGGAGCAAAATCTTCTAATCTTACAAATTTGAAATATGTTATCCTTGTAGTACAACTTAATGGTACAAAAAGAACAACTTTAGAAAATAAATTTTCGATAATCTCCATAAACAAGCACAAACATCTTTCATCATAACAACACAACAATTTCATTCGTTTGTATATTTTATGCTATTAGTAGAATGCAAAGTTTGTATGCTATCTAATGCATGGCTAAACCTTTATGTTTGTATTTCAATATCGCCAACATATGAGCGGAAGAAAGAAATTATTACGACTTATGTATGTAAATTCACGCTCATGACTTTCTTTTTTAAAAATATATATAAATAAAAAGTAATATAAATTATCTTCCTGGTAAAGCAAGGTATAGAAACCGGCTATCTAGATTGCCGGTTAAGTTTGCTGATCAATACACTACATAACCCAGGCTGCTTCCGAGTATCATCTCTATTTCAGATTTTTCTTTTTAGTGCTATTGCATGTGTTCACGTGTATTTAACAGGTGATGATCAAGACAATGAAATCTCTCGAATGGAACAGAATTGCAATCATCTATGTCAACGATACTTACGGTCGGGATGCTAGCAATCGTCTCATTTTGAGGGCAAACGAAGAGAGTATTTGTACATCTATGAATAGCGCTATCCCGGTAGAAACTAGTGGAGATTTTTTCAACTCCTTGATTAGCGACATTACTATCGGTACCGGCAATAGAGCATCTATAAATGGAATAGTTTACATTGGTCCCAGTTCATTTGCTCGTTCTATATTTATTGCCTTAGAAAATACGGGCTTTACATCACATCCTATTGTCATGTTGTCGGAAGGTATCAACATGGAGACAAGCGTGTTTCAGTATAATTCTGGGTCGACGCTTAAGTCGTCAAAAGGATCTCTTGTTCTTGCACCTAACTATCAGGAAAGCATTGAATTCACGTCCCATTGGCGGTCAATATTCACAAACAAAACGTATTTTGAAAAGGAAGTTATGACAAACCCTTGGCTAATGGAAGTATATTATGAAATCACAGAGTGTGAGAGAAGAAACTGTGATTTTACGCCACTGACAGAGAGTGATTATAACCAAGTGTTTGAAGCGCAAATTTTATACGTGCAGTATGCCATACTTGCAGCGCATGCCCTTGTTAAGGGGACAAGAGAACTCCATAACAAATACTGCCCTTCCTCGGTATTCTGTGATGGTTTTAAAACGAATTTTCGTTCGGGCGACCTAGTAAATGTTCTAGAAAATATTAACATAGACCTTGGGAAGGATTTTCAATGGAAGTAAGTTAGTTGTATAACGGCAGGCATTTTTCTCTTTTTATGTTCAGAAATAGATTTCATTGTTTACAAATGAATACGATATTACAATTATGAAATTATCTGCTTCATAATAAGACATACAATTCGTATATACGAATTGTGGGTGCAAAAGATTATGGGGATGCTAAAAGGAAACATACGGAATAACTCAAAATTTAATTCTTTTTAAACTAAATCAGTTCCAAAAAGTTTTTAAAGATGATCCCATTAAAGATCATCCCCGCATCACTCTACTGATATACATGTATTTGTATTGCAGATTACCGTCATTGTCAGACCGTAAGCTTCAACTAAACAGCACAGAAACTCAACAGAAAGATCTTTCGTTATATGATGTGTTCAATTTCCGGAAGAATGATGAACTTTCTACCGAATTTGATCTGATAAAGGTGGTTTTATTTTAAAGATTTTCAACAAATCTACAATTATATTATTTACCATTTGATTATATTGTCCAGGTTTATTGAGGGATTGGTGTTGATGATTGCATCTGACGCAATCAAGATAAACAGGTTATGTCGAATGTTTATATATGTGTTTCAGTAATTTTGATCAGTAAATGTTTCTTAAATGGTTCTTTTTTTCTGAAGGATTTCTTAAATAGACGGTTGAGGTGCTTATTTCCCAACTCATCAGTTGATCGTTGTAGCCAACTGTTTATGTTATATCGCATTATCTGCCTTGCTATGGAAAATCTTAAGAAAACATTTCTAGATTTTGCATACTTGGATAAGTTTGTTCCAGATTACATTTTTGACGTAATGAAATACGGCGTGGTTTAGAAAGGAACTAACACTTTCAATATAATTTATCAAAATCCAGAAAGTTTCAATCACAGTTATTTTGAAACGGATTTGGAGAGACGACATTTACCGAATATATTTTACCAAATTTTTTTCATCATGTGAGATAAGAAATATAATTGTTGTTATTTTAAGGTCAGTGATCGTTTAGATAACGACATAACTATAAACAAAGAGAAGCTTAGAGACTACACAATCAATAACGAGGAGCTAGTATGGCCAAATGTACGAAAGGCACAGTGCATGGTTGATACAAAGTGTAAAGAGTGCATCAACATTGAAGAGCTACGTGAAAGTATCATATTTGAGCAAGGTGATATATATGTTGTGGGTGTGATTGCAGTGTTCGATAGTGACAGTACCTCTGGAGACGGTTGTGGAAAAATTCGTATCGTCAGTGGATACCAAACTGCTGAATCAATAAGATTTGCTGTGAAGAAAGTCAATGCGAAAACCGGCGATTTTTCTGGCTTCTTTCCCGGTTTACAGATTGGTCTAATTGTTTTAAACTCGTGTAACGATCCAGTCATTATTCAAAGGAAGATTTATAAACTTATTCATAATGGCGTACAAAAGGCAGACGGGTCTGTTATAGATCTTCATAACAGAATATTAGGATTTATTGGTGATATAGGAAGCAGTATTAGCATTGCTGTGGCAGAATTACTGTCAAGATTACATTTTGTACAGCTAAGTTTTGCTTCAACAAGTCCCGTGCTCAGTGATAGATCTAAATATCCTTATTTTATGAGAGTTGTTACTCCAGATGATGCCCAAGCGAGAGCTATAATTAAAATTATTCAAGAGCTTGAGTCTAACTATGTTCAGATTGTTTATAGCACTGGCGCATATGGTGAAGCAGGGAAGGATAAAATTAAAGAGGAGGCAGTTAAAAGTAAAATTTGTGTAGTTCAGGAAATTGCTGTTGACGAAACTGATAGTGGATTTGGAATATTTGAAAAGTTGCGGCTGTACACTCACGCACGTATTGTCATTATATTTCTGCGGTCCCATCGCATAGTTCCTGTGATGTCAGCCTTGACTTCTCAGATTAATACAAGGGGAGAATTTATGTTTATTGGTTCTGAAGCATGGGCCCGGAAACGGGATCCTTTGAAAACGGACAGTAAACAAAATCTTCTGGGTTCTTTTACGCTTTCTCTTGAAATGTATGAGGATAATGAGTTGCGCACGCATATCTATAATCTCACTCCAAAGCCATTTAATCAGAATCCATGGTCAACATTATATCTACAAGAGAAAAGAAATTGCTACTTTGATCTAAGTTTTGACAAAATAAAGAATAAGATGTGCTCTTTAAATGATGACAACATCTTTGGTAGCGACTTTACGTTGGATTCTTGGGCTACTGCCGCCTATGTTGCAACGAAATCTCTTCTAATTGGCGGCAATAATTTTCTCAGAGACAAGTGTGGCATAAGCACGAAAGTTCTTTGCGGAGAATTCACGGACAATACAAAGGGTAAATGTTTTAAAGCGCATGAAGCTTTCTTTTGTATTAAATTTAGATTTAAACTTTAACAGAATGAATCGTCACAAAAGTTGCCTTTCTGATCAGCTTGCTTTCAATTTTGAAATGTGTATAATTTGTGTGGGGGGAGGGTGGGTGTGTATTAAAAAATGAAACAGATGTTGACATAATTTTATAAGAAAAGGCCCCAGTTATATGCATGCTTTCTAGATGTCGAAAGGTACGTTAAACCCTACATCTTGTGCCGTCATGCATGTATAGGCTTCTTTTAAAGAAACGAAATATCATCATGGGAATATAGGGCCTAATGGAGTTACACTCTTGACCCTTTATGAAGAAAAAATGTATAAAATCTCCATCATAAATTTGTTAGATTTGTTGACATGCCATTTAAAGGTACGTTGTATAATTTGACCGTGGCATTGAGTTGATTTCATATCAACTGCTGTTAGAAGAAAACTGTTACAATAAATGCCTTGTTTATGATGACAGGTTTTGTTGAAGCGATTAAGGATACGAAGCTTGATCTGGATGGATCAGGAAACAAGATTAAAGTTTTCAGTGACAACGGAAATGGTAATATTGGCTACAGAATTTACAACATTCAAAAAGACGATGACCCACAAATTTTGACTTACACTGAGGTATATATTGATTCTTACTGTTAGGTATTTATTTTGAGGTGAAATCAGGCGCAGTCTGTTAAGACAATTCCATTTCCGGTAGTTTGCAAATTAAATGTTATACGTATTGTCGAGTTCAATAAATAAAAAGAAAACATAACGTTTGACCGTCCAGTAAACTCAGTTTTTGGAACACGTCCTGTTCACGGATAATTTACGGATAATTTGACAAAGGCTGAGGCAAAGCCAGGACCAGTCGCAAAAATAATGCATTACAAATAAACGTTTATTAGATGTGGGTTTTTGTTATTTTTAAAAGATTTCTCATGTTCACCATCTATGTTTTTTTATCTTATTCATTACAAGCGAAGCGTACAATGCTATTCATTGTACAAACATATCAATGAAGGGCGGTTTGATTCTGTCACAACAAAAAAGTTTTCAATATAAATATCAATTGCATACAGTTTCTTCTTCTGATTGAATAATCAAACATACCCCAGTTAAGTATGTATGCATTGGGAATACATTTATGTCATTCTTAGGTCGGGCGTTTTCCATTGGAAGGAACATTTACGTTTGAGAAAAATCTGATTGTGAATCCAAGTGGTAACCCGATTGAATCAACATGTCCAAGCGAGCCGGCGTGCAGTGAATGCTTACAGTCTGACAAAAGTCCAGAAAAAGACACAGAAAAAGAGTATGTAACATATGCGTGTTATACTTGTTTTTATTTCATTTATTTGATAAACTACAATTTGTCAATAGCTAGACATTTGTTTGCTTTTGTTAAAACGAATGAAATGACCAGTCAAACCATTCAGGTCTGGTCAAAAGACATGGCTCTTATATACTTTATATGCCCTTATATACTTTATATTTTTAAATCAGTTTAACATATTACAAAAGACTATCAAAGAATCAGTATACCATCACAAAAAAGAAAGAAAAGCAAATATCGGTTGTTGAAAGTATGTTTTAAGAAAATATATTAAACTTTGACGTATGTTGTGCTTTAGGTCGTTGAATGTTGGAATGATAGTTCTTGGGGTGTTTCTTGCAATCGCATTAATAGCTGTTCTGATATTGGTGATATGTTTGATGAAACTGAGGGAAACACGCAAACGAGGTATCTTTTTCTTTGTGTATGTTTTATCTAATTGGCTTCTTTAATTTAAGCGTGCCAATTGTGATACCAACAAACATTGTATTCATTCTATCGGTTAGAAATTCTGAGATATAGATTACATAAATATCATCAATTTAGCATTTGATATTTTTTCTGTACACAACAAATTAGACAAAGAAGAAGCAACAAAAATCATTCTGTAAGAGAATTTGGCTGTTAGGTTTAATTTTTTTACGATTATCTTAGAGTAGATAGAATGTGCTTTAGCTTGAAACTGTGATCAGAGCTTTTCAAAACGTTCATTCCTGAAATTTCAGCCAGTGAAATATACCTAACGCCAACGACCCCAAACGTTGAACACAAGTTGCAGAGAGAGGAAGCAATCGGAAGTGAAGAGTTTGCTACCATTCCGGCTTGCTCCCCGAATCCATCAAGGACAGCACCACCAGACATCCAAACTACTGATACATAACATTTTACTACTGTGTACTTTTTGTACAAATTGTGTAATGTTAGAACTAAATATTTGACACTGTTTCGAGGGCTGGATGTAGTAGTGTTATCAGAATGGTGTAGGGAATTACATTCTATGAATGTTTTCGCACTTGGTGATGCTATAATGTTATATTTGTTACTCGGCTTTGGTAGTGTAAAACTGCAGTATTTGATAAGTGGCAATATGAAACACAATAAATTATTATCTAACTCATTTAATAACGCCTTTTCCACTTTGAATATTTAAAATCATTATGCATCTATTTTATATTCGATTTACATGCTATAACGCAGTATTTGATATCCAGTGTTGATAGAATATCGGTGCACGACATAACGTCGAAAAATATTTGATAGAATACGACAATTAAAAGAATGGACAAATGGTAGAAAACGACAATTTACAGAATATACAGTTGATAGAAAAGAATATAATGTCGAATTTTGTGTATCTTTTCGAAAGAACTTGTAAAAAAGCTTGGTACGCGGGTCATTCCATAAGTTCTTATAATGGCCTTATTTTAAGAAAACTATAAGTGATTCACATCTACCGTATCTATAGTCCTTTAAAGTAACTAACCCTTACAAGCGCTTTCCATCTGCTCGGAAGATCGGCAATTCCGGTTGCTAGGCAGCCGCGTGTGATACTTTGAAGCTCCATGGCCACGGCAACTTTAAGTCTCTCTAAGTCATTAAATCTAACGCCCCTGAGTGGCATTTTGAGTTTAGGAAAAAAGACATTGTCACAGGTACTCATGTTTGGCGAATAAGTGGAGATGGGGCAACACTTCCCAGTTATATTCTTCGATTTTTTGACGTCACTTGGTGTGATTTATGCGGAGTTGCGTTGTCATGAATTGTTTCCTGATAGTTGGTCTTAATTTCTCTTTTAAAAATGTTTCATAATACTACTAATAATAATATGTCCAATCCGACGCCAATGCACCGGCATTATCATAGGCTAAAATTACGAGCTGTTTCAGGTTCCATTGTTTTCGTCGAAATTGTTCAGGCATTGACGACCGTTACGTGTGTCATTCGGAGGAGTGTGACTTTAATTCGGGCTTATAGCTACGAAGTCATTTCTTATCGTTTGCCACAAATGCGGTCGCCTACATTTTCATCTCTTTAAGTGATTTTCTGCAATCACTAACCGGTCCGTCGTTTGGTCCCGCGTGAGATGATATGGCACCCATCTTGCAGAAACTCGGTGCATTCGCAAATGACGTGTCTGAATTGCAGGAATTTACCGAACAGAAATACCAAGACTTTCAGCTAACTCCTCGCATGTTAATCGCCGATCTTCATTCAGTTGGTCCCAAGCTTTTTCAACATGGAACTTGCCTGTAACCTCAACCGGCCGTCCGCTATGGGGGTCATCGGAAACATCAAATTTTCCATCTGCAGATCGCCTAATCCATCTATAAACTGTATTATATTAAACAGCAGATTCACCACAAGCTTCTCATAACTGCTCATGGATTTCATTTCCCGTTTTCCCCCTCAAAAACTTTATTTTAATATATCTAGGCTTACCGCGGCCATACGTGGAAAATATTTCCGAAACATTTTTTTTTATTACAATAACAAACTAAGACTATTGCTAAGCAAAAGAAGTAACATACCGAATATTAAAATGACTTGTAAATCATGATAAAAATAGATTATATTTTGGAGGGGTGTGACGGCCGGGGGGGGGGTTATTGAGAACTCATTTTGTCTTTAGAGAGGAGTCATTGCACTGTAAAAAAAGGCCACATTTTCTATATAAAATTAACCAGTGGCCATTTATTCTATTTTCTGTGTGTGTGTGTGTGTGTGTGCGCGCTGCGTGCGTGCGTGCGTGTATGTGTATTTTAGTTTGTTTTTTAAATTTGTTTAATGATATTTATGTATTTCTTGTAAATTGTACTTTTTATTTAAAACGTACATGTATGTCTTGTTTTATATAAAGATATGTTTATATGAATGAGCTTGCGATGCTTAAGACAAATAAAATACATGTTGCTATTCCACGAAAATTACTTTACTTCGTTGTTATTGCAATTAACATGCCACACACTTTAATTATAATTTGGTCAAACCAGATGACGATTACGTCAAATATACGACAACAAGAAGATTGTTATCGTTAATTTCTTTCTGATTTGCTATTTATTTGTTTATGTCTATCTGATATATTTATTTCACATTTTCTGTATGGATTAAAAAAAATATGATTATGCCACTGGCTTATGGAAGCTTTACCTTGCCATTGATCCAAATTAAGTCATTTTGATTGGTTCAACTTATCACTTCATCGATGATAAATCTAAGATGACACTTTTTTTGGAATGATTCATTTATAGAACTTCATTGGTTACTTCTTGTTTAGATATGTTTTTTGTTTTTTTTGTTGTTTTTTTGGTATCTATTTTAGCATTTAGAAAATTATTTTTGAATGATAATGTACATGTGTGTGGTATAAAAATGATATGTTATCTATTTTAGCATTTTGATAATTATTGTTTAAAGGATTATATACATGTATATGGTACAGAAATAAAGGAATGATATGTACCGTTACAGTACATAAGTTAGCAGTGAAGAAACATGTTGAAGTTTAACTTTATGACAATGTGCCGGAGTTTTTTGTGGTGCATATTAATGCTTTAACCGAATATTAACCGACTGCTGTTGTAACGATAAAAGTGAACTTTATAAAAATGGAAAAAAGATTGGATGTAAAGTAAAGTAATTGCATTTTATAGTCTAAGTTTCATTCTTACGCACGTTCACCGACTTTACAGCTATTACCCCTGGTCATCGGGCTACTGGTATCTATCTATCAATCTCCCTGGGGAGTCTTTTAACTCCGCTTAGTGCAGCCGACATTTTGGCTCAACGGAATTATACCACCCTCGCAGGTACCCATTTACACCTGGGTGAAGTGAAGCAATCGCAGGTAAATTTCTTGCTCAAGGAAATTAGCAGAGCCCCTGATGGGGTTCGAACCCGGGACCTCTCGATCCCTAAGCGCGCGTCCTACCACTGGACTACTGCTGTGTGGATGTGGTTGTTATGCCATAAATAACAATTAACTAGCGATTATAATGGATGTTATAAATAAAATTTAAACAATAGACAAACTATTCACATCACATGGAAAAAAATGAAGATGAATTACTTCAAACCAAATCAATATTACGACAACATATATAATTCCAGGATGTTCATAAAACTTATTCACAATACCAAAATAACTTATTTGTTTTCTTTTATTTATCATCTGTAATAAGGTCGTTAAAACTGTTGAAGAATAATGGTGATAATTAATTTCATTACAATGTCCAGAGTGTTAGCCAATTACATGAATTTTGATGCGCAAGTAGATCACTGCATAGCAGTCAATAGGCAAGGAAATGTTGATGCCAAGTAAATGACTTGCCTGTCAGGCTGTCAAGTCATTGCATAGTCGGGCTTAGTACCATCCTAGATGTCCTAAACTACTCTGAAGGGCGACTCCCCTTGACTTCTATTAGGACATGGGCAGCTAGTTTCTACATGTATAGTATACATACATGTATAAGGGAAACCCACGACCCAAAGGGCAGGGGGCAAATTTTAACCCGAGAAGGAAGTGGTCAATTTTTGTAGAGGACCTCCAGATCCGAAACTTTCAGACAAGAAGAATTTCAATATTTGCATTTTGAAACCCATTTTGTGCAACCAACCATGAATGTTGAACATCTTTGAAAAAGGTTCCATCAAAGATTATTCAGTTTGTCAAAATACAATCATTGGTTTAAGCATGTTGCTTAAAGAAATTGTTGAGACCAACAAGGTCAGAAGGCGATCACGACCGAGCCAAAGTTATAAAGAAATTTTCCAAGCTTAAACTCAGACCTCAGATATTTCTCTGGTTAAAATCCAACAAAGAATGAATACCGATAAATGGAAATTCTGAGATTCGAGACAGTGCTAAGAATTATGCTTTATAACTTAGAGGCCAGGATCAACACCAGCATGTTGTGCTCAGGTTTGCTAAATTTTATGGACAACAACAAAGAGCTTGTCTTTTTGGTGTTTATTTTGATTCAACAAGTAACAACTTGGCATCACATATTTAAATCAACACAGAATGTTTTTTTATCATAATTTTCAAAACATTTAAATGCAAATTCAAACTTATCTTACCAAAACCACACTACAAATTGACTCTTTCAGACCTTGACATTATTAACTGACAAATAAATACACTGTACTTCAAATTCTATAGAGTAAATGCTTAGAATGTATATATCAAGTTGTTGTCTTTAAAGATTTTCATCAAACAGAATTTACAATAATATAGATTCACATTATCTACCAATAAAATGTCACAAACAGATATTTACAAACACAAAGCATTTCCGTCAATGAATATTTTCTCGAACATGTTACACAATTATAAACTAATATCCTTCCATTTTCAAAATACAATTTTGTCAAAAGGTTGCTTATTTCAGACCTGTTTTTTAATTTTATTTTATGGAATATTTTCATGTTAGGCTTTACGTGTCTCAATCAAACGGAGTTATGTATAAACCAATTCAAATAAAGTATGCAATTTTCTTACTCATCATTGTATTTCAGTTGAGATCCACTTTTAACAACCGCTAAGTTAGGACAATTATCACATGGTCTGGTTTATTTACAAGTGCTAAGTAAGGTATACAATATATAAAGTGAAAGATTAAGGGTTAATGCTTAATTGAATCTTTGTTCTCAAATGTCAACAATCATCATGACAACTAAACAATATAAATGAGTTAATGCAGAGTTAAAACATCAATGACTGAATACAAGAACAGTTTGTTATCCAGTACACAACTAAAATAGCAATGACTGTTATCAACAAGCACACATCTAAAATACCACTGACTGTTATCCAGTACACAACTAAAATAGCAATGACTGTTATCCAGTACACAACTAAAATAGCAATGACTGTTATCCAGTACACAGCTTAAATAGCAATGACTGTTATCCAGTACACAGCTAAAATACCACTGACTGTTATCCAGTACACAGCTAAAATACCACTGACTGTTATCCAGTACACAGCTAAAATACCACTGACTGTTATCCAGTACACAGCTAAAATACCACTGACTGTTATCCAGTACACAACTAAAATACCACTGACTGTTATCCAGTACACAGCTAAAATAGCAACTGACTGTTATCCAGTACACAACTAAAATACCACTGACTGTTATCCAGTACACAGCTAAAATACGAATGACTGTTATACAGTACACAGCTAAAATAGCAATGACTGTTATCTAATGCATAACTAAAATACCAATGAATCCAGTACACAGCTAAAATGACTGTGTTATCCAGTACACAGCTAAAATACCACTGACTGTAATCAAGTACACAGCTAAAATACCACTGTTATCCAGTACACAGCTAAAATACCACTGACTGTTATCCAGCACACATCTAAAATACCACTGACTGTAATCAAGCACACAGCTAAAATACCACTGACTGTAATCAAGTACACAGCTAAAATACCACTGACTATAATCAAGTACACAGCTAAATTACCACTGACTGTAATCAAGTACACAGCTAAAATACCACAGACTGTTATCCAGTACACAGCTAAAATACCACTGACTGTAATCAAGTACACAGCTAAAATACTACAGACTGTTATCCAGTACACAGCTAAAATACCACTGACTGTTATCCAGTACACAGCTAAAATGGACCTTTCCTGTTTTATTTTGTGCAAACCAGGTCAACCAGTGACTATGTATTATCTCAGTGTAGCAATTGGATAACATGTTAGCCAATTACATAAAACTGTAAACACTGGAAAGGTCCATACCACTGACTGTTATCCAGTAAACAGCTTAAATACCACTGACTGTTATCCAGTACACAGTTAAAAATATCAATTAATGGATACAAATACATAACTAAAATATCAATGACTAAACACAAGTAAGTAGTCAAAATTTTCAATGCATTAATTCAACTACACAGCTAAAAATATCAATGACTGAATTCAAGAACACAGGGCAAAATATGTTTTTGTAATACTAAGTATTTACATATGTTTTTTGCAATACTTATTTACATATGTTCTTTGTAATACTAATTACTTACAAATGACTTATCTTACTGGATACAGTTTTGTTCTTCAGCACTAGTAAATTGCTTGAATGACTTAACAATGTGACGTTACACTTACATTCAAATTTTATTATCGTCTTTAGGACATGTAGGATACTTTCAACAATATTTGTTATCAATTAACTAATATGAATTAAAACACAATTTTAGAACTGTATGCAAATACCTAACCTTGGCTCTAAAAGCAAATTCAACTAAGCACTTAAATTGATGCAGGAAAATATAAGACTCGAAAATAAAAAAAAATCCTTGACTTCAAATTTTGATCCTTTATCTAACAAAATGAAACAAATACATTATTACACCACATTTCAACTTTTTACATACCATTTTAAAGAGTTACTATGACAACATATCCACAATAGATTACAAAAAAACACAATGATTCCGATTTTCCTTTTTTAAAAATGGCAAGATTATGTTCAAAAACTATGAAAAAATCAACAATGAGATTGCCAACAAATAACATAACAAAATTACATTTATATAACAAAATAACACATACATAACAAACTTATATACAACATTACATAATAACAAAATATGACTAAGTATGTTCATGGTTCATCACATAGGGGCGCAACAATATGATCAATCCAAAATTGCAATATATTGTGATATAATTACACAGTCCATCCATATTGCAAAACACAGACTTGTTTGTTTTTTGCAATAAACGGCTGTACCTATAAATTGTTGCACCAATATCAGAACAACTAGGCAAAATGCTAAGAATTAAACCTAAATAAAACTATGACCTGAATACTAACATAAGGTAAAATAAATTAGGCCTGATAAAAAAATGTATGCTCAAAGGCCTCCATATGTTTGATATGTCTGCAAGATAGACATAAAACTGAAATACTTAAAAGTGCTGATAAAAAGTTTACTATCACTTTAAATTTACATGCGAAAAAATTTTAAACAAAGGTGAAATATATGAGATACTATACAATTGACAAGTGGATAAAACAAAAACAAGAAACGTGTCCATGAGATACTTATGGCAAGATTTCATTTGCCTGTCATAGTTTCATAAAGATCAAGTTTTATAAATAACTAATATATATTTAAATATCATTTTAAGTAACAAGTTTAACAAACATCATAATGACTGGAGACACTCTTTTTTTATTTGTTAAAGATTACACAATAAAGACCACTATGACCTTGACCACCTCGATTCTATGACCTCAAAATCAGAAAGGGTGTCTAATGGGCATTGGTACTGCTCCTAGAAAGTTTAACAAACTTTGACTTATATTTGCTTACAGGGCTGCCAACAGCAAATTGCAAAATCAGCGGAAAATATGCGGGGGGCCCAGGGGGCGAAGCTCCTGGATTCTGATGATTTGGTATGCCCTAAAATCAATTTCCTGGACTCTAAATTTGACTTCCTTGGTTGCCTTTAAAGCCATTCAGAGACACTTTAGTTGGACTTCAGGTTTTCATCAGCCCTCAAAACAAATATCCGACATTTTGACAACAGACAAGAGGGACAATGTCAACTGTAATTTGATTGGTTATTCTAAAATAGAATGCTGGAAAAGACTTGATTTGACCAATGAGAAAAGCGCTTACAGACGTACCATAGGCGGCTAGCGTAACGATAAAAGCCGAAGCGTGCCCGTTTTTGGGTACTGTATAAAATATGACGAATGAATTTATTGTCTTTGTCGAATTTACATCGATCTCAAAAATGACCCAGGAGCTCACGAAAACCGCGGATTCGCGGAAAATCGGCAGCCCTGTGCTTAACAGGAAAGGCAAAAATATTTTTAAGAGGGCAGGCAGGGAGACCTGAACTGGAACTTCTTATGCAATTGTCATTTTTCATACACTTTCTCAGTTAGGTCAAACATTACTCTTTTTTGTTTCAATCTTTCACACCCTTGTTATTTGTTTTATTATGTTTCTGTATTTATCATGTACTAAAAAAAATACAGATTTTTTCAAAAAAAAAAAAGAAAAAAAAAAGAAGAATAAACATGTGTAGGCTTTGGTCTGTTTGCCATTTTTGATTCATATACATTTTGCATTGTTATGTAAATATATCAAACTTAACTTACATTTCTTCAAATTTTGAAAACAAACAGGTTTCAAACAATCTATATATATACAGTATCAAAAAAAATATCATTTCAACATGAATAAATTCTGGTTATATTAAACAGGGTAACATAAATTTTGATACATCTAAAGAAATTGCATTGATTTGGGGTAAATATATGAATAATATCAAATATTTTTATACAAACAACATGGTCAATACAAACTATACATATATAAATCTTCCATGTTCACAAAATAAAATGCAAGATCAGAATCAAACTTGTTCCTTATTCAGTTTTCACTACTCTGAAGTCATTAGAGGAACAATTCTTTGTATCAGTGATGTTGTTATAATTAAGGATGAAAACCTCCCGTGATGTCAAAGGTGGTTATTGCAAAGTGTCTGAAGTCTATACAAGCAAAGATGGCTTAGTTTGGAAGGTCTGAGTTTTAGCTGGAGAACCTAAGATTTTGTAACAGTTTAATATTGCTTTTATGCATACAGACCAATAATTCTTAATAAAAATTTAAAAAATTATCAAAAAATATAACTGTTTGGTAAGCTCATTTAAAATTGGAAAGTTTTCTTTCTAAACTGGGAGACTTGTCAAAAATGTCTGACTAAAAAAAAAGGAAGAAAATCTTCTGAAATTTTAATATCGTTTTTCAGTTCAAGTGCACAATCAAATTTGTATTATCTATAAAACCTTGCAGTATACAGCAAGGAGAAGTTTATGAAATATGAAGTTTGATCCTGATGTTGCTTTTCAAAGTATCGTGAACATAAATTTTCATCTTTATACATTCACAACTCCACAGCACTATCTCTCTTACTCTTTCTATCTTTTTAATATGACAATGAACATTGAATATGTAACAATGATTCTCATTGGACGATTGTGATGTTTATATTATTTATACACCATGTACATGCTTGCTACAAAATTATTGTTTTATTTTCATTCCAATCAAAATAAAGCCACTGTGCAATATTTTATTTAGAGTTTTATAAAGACTTTCTAGGGTTTATATGACCATTTATAAACAATGGCAGTTCAGGTTATATAAGCATAACTAATTATAGTGAGTTATATAACCTGTTAAATATTTTTTTACAAAAAATATTGATTACACAGGGTGAAATTTCACACCAAGAAATATATGTTTTTATTTTTGGAGAGCAAAAATTTTCATTCTTTTGATAAGCAAAATTCATTCTAAATGATTTCACCTTTTTTTAAAAAAAGCACGACTACCTTCAAGCATAAGACATATATTTACTTATCTTTATGTCCATAAAAATGTTCAAAATGACGAAAAATGAACAAAATATGAACTCAAATAACCAAAAAAACACACACATATATAATTATACATCAAATATATCACATATATAATAGTCACAGCATATTGGTTCAAAAAGGTCAATAAAAATTGTAATATACACAAGATATAAAACATCATTGGAAATGTGGTCCTTGAAATTTCATCTGGAAGGAATCTTTTATCAGGTTATGGTTCTATGTCAATATAATGAAATGAAACCTTGCTAAACTGAACTTATAGAAAAAAAGAAAAATTTTGAAAAAAAAAAGAAGAAGAAAAAATTGGTTCTAAAGAATGAAAACTTAAAAAGAAATTTTAATCAGAGAAAAGTCGGTACAGATGGTTTAAGTAAAAGTATTTCAAAGTTTGTGAATATTTCAAAAAAGGAGACGATTTCTCTCCCAACCATCTAACTATGCTTATCTTACAAATCTTGGGCGATTAGAAAAATGGAAATAATTTCAGAATGAACAGTAGATTTTAGTCTACTATCTGTGAAAGTAATTAAATGTCAGTGACAATTGTTGTGTTTTCACAATAAGGTTTATTTGGTTTCAATGACAATTAAAATCTTATATACCATATAATTATATCAGCTACTTGAGTGTAAACTTTTTTTGTACCTTTAATTTCCATCAGTAAAAAATAAATTGAATAAAATCTGACTTTATAAAGAAAATGAAGAGTTGTTGCTGTTGTTTTTTCTACAAAAAAGAAACAAACAAAACATAATTCAAATCAAAGTTAAACTGAAGTAGAATAAAGTAATAAAATCAAACGTTAAAAAAAATCAGTATTTTCAAAAGATTATAAAAATAAATTATAAGAAAACATGTTTTTGAAAAGGAAACAAACACAAATTTAAAGAAAATCAAACCATTATAAAGAATGATTTATAATGATCTTAACATATCACACTATAAAATTGTTTTTTATTTACATATGTACAAAATCAAGATGACATCCTTGACTCCCAAAATATTTTTTCTCCACAAATCAAATACAACTACTCTACTAAATGTACTGTATATGGACATTCTGGTGTACAAAACACTACAATCTAAGATTTGTAAACATTTCTCCAGAATTGTAAATTTTGATCAATATATAAGTACAGGAGACAAGATAAAAAAGTATATCTATATTTGTTTATATTTCATAACTTCATATATCTGAAGAAAAACAAAACTATTGTATAATATTTGACTTATGGGGAATTATATCTATGTCAAAATTATTATTTTTAAAAAGATATGTAGCAACTGATAAAGTTTTTATTGCATTAATTTTACATCCTGATATTTTATATTTTATAGAACTTATAAAATCTTTTTATATGTATATTAAATCCATTTTATAGAACTTATAAAATCTATTTATAATCTAATAAAGGATATACATCTTTAATTAGTTGTAAGGATGACTGGTTGGTATTGTAAAATAAATTACACCAAAGTACCTAAATTAAAAGAACTGGATTTGAGAGTGAATTCTTTTCATTACAACAAGTAAAAAAAGTTTATTGCACTTAACTAAGAACAAATGAAATGCTTTGTAAAACGTGAGATAACTCTTTTAAAGTTTTGATTCCCTGGTTTTATCAATCTTCGGTCTATTTTTACTCTCAACTTCTTCAACTTTACCCTCAAATTCAAAGTCGTCTGGTTCCAGATCTGTGGCTACTGGAAGCTTGAAATCTGCCTCATCATCCGAGTCATCAGATGCTCCATCTGCAGAGTTACCTCCCTTACATCTAGCTTCTGGGTTACTTGACAGATCAAGTTTGTTGATGGAGACAACAGAGTTCATCATTTCACCAACCTGAAATTGGATCAATGAATGTTGTTGACTCAAAACACCCAGGACATAGGTCATAGCATTTTATGTCTTACATTCTTTCTACTGCATAAAAAAAACTTTCGTAACTCTTTCATTTTCATATAAGCTGGAAAGAAACTTTTTTATATAGGTGCTATCAAAATATTTTTTCTGTAAAAATGTGTTCTTAAAAATTAACAATAATCTGAATCAAATGTTTACTTGTATCATAGTTTGAGGACCTTTCTGTTGGAAATGTGTCAGAGTTTAATTGTATACATATTAGTTACCCTCAATCCAGAGCATGCCCATTTATTGGCTCATTTTTCCTGGGGTTTACTTATTGTGATGGAAGGGAACGGGAAAGCGACAGAAATATCATATTCAGATGCTCGTTCATTGGTTCCTTTTTTTCTGGGGTTTCATATTGTGACAACAGGGAACGTGTTTTTATGTTTGACTATGATACAAAAAGAGAAAGAACATCAAAACAGTCTGCAATTTGATTAATACTCGGGTGGCTACACCCCCTCGGTGCTCTTTCTATTACATAGCTTACATTTCATATCTTATCTATAATAAATATTATATAAATGGTTGTTGATTTTATCAAGGGAGATAAATACTGCTATATAAGGAATAATCTAATCTATACTTACACTGAGACCTTTGTTGTGTTTATCTTTCTCTCTTCTGTTTTTACGCCGGATCAGAATCCACACTATACTGAATAAGGCCCCGCCTAGAAGCTTCAATACAGCAGAGGTTCCTGAATAGATTAACATATTTTTTTTTAATAATGTAAATATCAAACAATTATGAGCAGATTATAAATAATATGGGGGCATTGTGACTAGGGATGAGAAACAGAAAATCAGAGTCATATAATGATCGTTGAGCCTTACTGGTAAAACTTTTAAATGTTTGCACAAAATGTCTAGTTAGCAATATAACTAGCCATTGCTCAAATTGCGGGGCAAAATCGCTGGAAGCCAGTGAGATACTAAACTGGGCCAAAAAATCCCCAACAGATACTTTATAGCTTTGCAACACAAAATACAATTCAAAACAATTTTCAAATTTAACACATGTGTATTTCTAACCGAACTATTTCAAAGGTGTATATATTATTATATCACTGTATATCACTGTATAATAAGATTTAGCTAAATAACAATCAATTTTACTGTGGAATGGGGGTGGGGGGACCTGTGGGCAGTTGTTACGAGATGGAATGCCTATTTTAATGTACATAAGCTGATGGCAAATTACCATCACTATCTAAGTACAACTCATAACCACCTAGGGGCAACTGAATCTTCTCATGTGTCCAGTGCCGACCAATATCACTCTAGACATCCATGCCAACTGATCTTTATCTGCATTCCCAATATTCAGTAAGTTTGTTTGTTTCATTTTACGCCTTTTCCCAACAGTATTTTAGTGATATAGGCGGGTAGTTTCCTAACCATCGTTCCTGGAGAGTTACACCAGTACTAAACTACCTTACTCTGCGCTAAACTACCAAAGTATCTCCCGGGGATCGAACCCTTGCCAGAGAGGTAACTGGATTAGAAGTCATCGGCTCTAACCCCTCGATCATGGAAGCGGTTACTATTTTTTAGAAATTTTCCTTAAAGTCCCATTATGTCCCAGACACATCTTTATTTTTATTTCTAAAAATATTTTATTTTTTTATATAGTTTCCAAAAAGTAACTCATTGCCCAATTATCTGAGCCATATTTTGCTTCTGCTGCTTTTCAGCAGTTAGTATGATTAAAGTGATTTAGTATTTGGTATGGAGGACAAAATACTACATGTACTTTTTTACATTTTGCTTCTTTTATGACAAATAATTTCACATTCAGGGCTACATTCTTAGGTGGTAAGCATCAAACATGCTCTGAAACAATTATTTAAACGTTATAAAACTCACGTTAGCCCTTTCTAAAGAAGAAAAAAAATATTTGATTCTGAGGCATAATTTGCCTTTAAAATAATGAATAGTTGAGTTCAGATTGTAAAATTGTCATGTGTAAGATATATTGCAGGGTAAGGGTGCATCTATATGATATCATTATAATACCTACCCACATATCTGTATCTGAACATTTCTATGTTATACAACAGGCAAGAACCATTGCCGCCACATTTTTCCCTCCACAATAAACAGGCCGAGTCTATGATATGTCCAAACACCATTGGGGAAGGTATATATGCTGAAAGAGACCAAAAAAAAAAAAATCAAACTTTAAAGAAATACTATGCTCAAAATTTCATACACAGTCTCTTAAGTTTGTAAGCATAAAATAAACAAATTATCTTTGAATTTCACTCTGCATTTCACATGTAATTGTTAAACCGTTTTACTGCAAGCTTCAATCTAAACACATCCATACCACCAAATTACAACTAGAATCTACAGTGTTGGCCTTTTTCTTTAATTACCAAATTACTATAAAGCAGTCTCTCAGATTAGATTACAAAATTTTCATATCTCTCAAATTTCTAAAAACAGTTTATAGCAAGGTTTAATTGCTTATGCAAATTGCAAGGTGGACATGTCCATTTTATTATACAGTCAGGCAATTGTACAAATTGATATATAAACTTACAGTTTACTAAAAGTTCTAAAGGTTTACTAAATGTGTATAAGAAACTTACCAAAAAGTCTTAATATCACAAACTGCATACCCAGGGCAAAACATCTCTCAACCTCTCTCACTGACCTACAATTATACAGTAAAAAACTAAATATTTTTTTTATATTCTAATTTAATCAAACCATTTTGCTTCTTAAATTGAAGTCATTGCATCATTATCACATGTGGAATGGTGGAGTAAAACCTAATTTTCAGTACTTATTTGGTGGAGCAAAAACAAAGATTTCCAGATTTACTGATGGAGAATGACCCCAGCTTTTCTGAGTTACCCCCAGCTTTCCAGCTTTATTGATAAAGTAAGACCCCAGCTTTTCTGATTTATTGGTAGAGTAAGACCTTAGTTTCCAGATTTACTGGTAGAGTAAGACCCCAGTTAGGTGTTTTCTTTACAGATTAACAGTTGAGTGGTAAACTAAGACTCCAGTTTTCAAAATATATAAGCATAGTAAGTCCGCAGATTTTATTTTTTTAAAGTAAAGGAAGACCCTGCATTTCAGATTTACAAGTGGAGTACTGTTCCAACTTTTCTGGTAGTGAAAGACCCTCAGCTTTACATATTTATTACTGGAGGATTAGATCAAAGTTTTACTGATTTACTAAATAAATGGACTTCAGCTTGCTAAATTTGTTTGGTGGAACAACATAGCTTTCTTATTATGACCACATGGTACATTATCTCAGACTATAAAAGACAGTTATATAAGTAAAAGGCAGGAAAAGCTGTCTGGTTAGCTCAATAGGTAGAGTGTTGGACTGTGAATCGGGTGACCTTGGTTCGATTCCCAGACAGCGCACGTCACTTTCATTGTGATTGATCATGAAATCTTTTTTATGGTCATTCGCACTGTACCTCTGCTCTGGCATGTACAGAAGTTTCAGGTCTTTGCGATAGTTAAGGCAACTAGTACTAGTAAACTGCTGGAACGATACCGTGGTTGAACTGTGCTCTGGTGAATTCAATGTGGCTTACTGTTGTGATTCGGAGTGAAAATTACCAACACCACCACCACCAAAAGGCAGGCACACAAGTAAAACCCTGACATAACCAGCCTCAACCTATCTGTATAGCTTACACATATAGCAAATAACATTAATATGAACACAACTTAACAATGGGCAAATTAACATTTTTCTATCAGAAAGCTTAAAACTTTGGAGTTGTCGAAATAGTACACAAAATAATATAGAAAGCTTCAAACTTACCTGAGGGTAACCATTAATATAGGCATTTGTGTACCAGCCACACAGAATGTCATGAACACAAGTAATATGAGGAATGGTAGAAGGTTTTTACATGTTGATTTACATGGACCACTCGTAGCCATTGGAGACATGATCACCTCGGACGCTAGATGGTCACCTAAGATACAAGAACATCCTGTGAAGTTCTGAAAAATAAAATGCAGAATCTGTTAGAGTTTGCTTTATTAAGAATAGTCAAACTATTACACTACACTAGCTGTTGGTTTCTTGGTCAGAAAATTCTACAGTATTATTACCAATAAACTTATGCTGAACATTATTATTCTCAATCAAACATAATTTGCAACTTGCACCAATTACTTTTTGTCTGCATGGCTCATGAGGGATCTGGTCTTTTTTTATTTGTTTTGTTTTGTTTAATTTCATGGCCCACCAATACAATTTATGTTATACAGGAAACAGGAAAGATGATTTTGGCTAACTTACAAACTTAAAGCAACACTGGCGTCAAAAGCACCTCACTTGCTGGAACTAAGAGATGCATAGACTCTAATAATTTGAGCCAATTTATAGTCCTAGCTTTCTTACCATCATGCAGGGATTTGCAATGGCTGCAATTCTGATGCCTCAATCCTTCAAGGCAACCATAAGCCATGAGGGGGAGTCTTAACCCTTTAAGGCAATCCCTCAGCCACTAGGAGTCTGACCTTTTTAAATTTTTGTACTTTTCACAGTAGGTGTTGAGCGCTATTTAGCAGCTTAAATAAGTTATTTTATCTCAGAAAATCATTTCTGACCCTTCTGAGATCATAGATTTCAAAACTATAAGAGTTATAGATTTATTATTTTTATTGAAGCAGTTACTAGAATTACTTTACAGCCTGTAACTGTTGAAGAAATATATTGGATGATCATTGCAAACTTTCAAATGTCTTTTTAAGATACAAATCTATACATCATTGCAAACATGAAATGTTTTGAAGTTAAACAACTATACAACTGTAGATAGACAGGCAAAGACTGACACATAATTTACGTTGATAGGTCTTTATACATCACCATGGCAACACAGTGCTCATATTGTGCTACAGAAAGATCTATCATTTATACATAAAACCCAATATAAAATAATATCTCCATGTCACAGTTCAAATCAAAGACTACCTTAATTTAAGAGAATATAATTCATGCCAGCTGTGATCAAAGGCTGTCATCAAAAAATTGACCATATCTTATTTTTGTCAGCTCAGGAGTAACTTAGCTACTCATTTACCCTAACTCAGCTGGTTCAATCTTAAAGAAGAGTGTGGACAGGAAAATTGTTTGTCAAGTAAAACAGGCACAATGAAAACATCAAAATTACCTAGATAGCTTGATCACTAAAAACATGGAAGACAAGTCTCAGAGAGACAAAGCAAAACCCTGCTAATGGGATCATCAGAACTAATTATACAATTATATCAATTAGATTTCTGGTGTTGTTAAGTGTTCTTTCTAATCACAATAATGAAGAAATATTGATCACGCTCTTTTAGTACATTACAATAAAGTCTCACTCTCCCAAAAACTTCTCAGCTTCTTACAACTGGTTTATGACATATGAGCCGTGTCATGACAAAACCAACATAGTGTGTTTGCGAACAGCATGGATCCAGACCAGCCTGCGCATCCAAGCAGTCTGATCAGGATCCACGCTGTTCCCTTACAAAGTCTATAACAAGTAGAGAAACTGATAGCGAACAGCATGGATCCTGATCAGACTGCCCGTATGCGCAGGCTGGTCTGGATACATGCTGGGCGCAAACCAATTATGTTGGTTTTGTCATGACGCGGCTCATATAATATTCACAGACAAGCATGTTGTTTAATATCTCTAAATAGAGGGTATCAATTCAATACTGAATTCATTGAACAAGTTGAATAAAATTATATTATGTCAGCCTCTGGTGAATTCAATAATACTTTATTTCAGTGAGTTCAATAAATTTAGCAATGAACCTAATATAAATTCCATTTACCTCATACCAAAAATCTGATTCTGTAACTCAATTTTTTTTATGGTTTTATATTATAAATATAATGCTCAAAGGAAGATTAATCAATATTGTAAGTTCCGAAAAGCATAATTTGTAAAGATGTTACTGAATTTACATTTCATGTTCATAAAGGGAGTTAATTAGAAATTTACTTTCTATAAAGACTAAGTCAAATTTTTCATTAAGAAATGAATGCATTTATTTAATGAATATAGACATGTATAATGTGGACAAATATTTGCATTACATATTTTACATATTCTTCAAGGTTTGAAAATTGTTTTAGAAGCATGATTATAAACATATATAAAATTTCAATTAAGTGTGGTTACAACCTTAATAACAACATACAGGATCTTTAAAGTAAACAAGATTGCATTTGAGAAAAATGCTATGCCACCGCAATAATACAACACTAAATAGTAGTGTAGGAACAGATTTTTTTGTTTCTATACAATTGAAGATTGTCATAATGCATATCTAATTCTTATTATCAGATTAGTGGTTAAATCTATTGTTAACTCAATAAAAGATCAGAGTAGGAATATATCAATGCACTTGAGTCTAGTGAATTTGGTGGTGAAGGTCATATTTCACAGAGCCTAAAATTTCATGACTGCATCAAAGGACAACATGTAATACACTTTGTCAAAATCTAGGTCAGCTGATATCAAAGTTCACTTTTAATTTTGACACTAGAGGCAAAATTTGAACAACTTTGGTAGAGTACCTAAAGATGATATCATTTAACAAATATTAAAGCTCTAAGCCTTGTACCTTCAGACAATAAAATTTTTTTTATTTTTTACTATATGTATATATTGAAAATCAATGACCCCGGGGCGGGGGCAATTTTGACCCCAGGGCTATTATTTGAACATTCTTGCTAGAGGTTCACTTCACAATGTTTCATGCAAAGTATCTAACCTCTAGCATTTGTCAATTGCTAGAAGAAATTTTTTTTAAAGTTTTTACTATAAGTTTTTACTATGTAAATATGAGGAAAATCAATGACCCCCAGGGCCGGGCCGATTTTGACCCCAGGGCTATAATTTGAACAACCTGGGTAGAGGTCTATCAGACAATGCCTTATGCAAAATATCTAAGCTCTAGGCCTTTTGGGTCTTTACAAGAAGGTATTTTAAATTTTTACTAAATGTATATGTACATATAGTGAAAATCCATGACCCCCGGGGCAGGGCTGATTTGACCCCAGGGCTATAATTTGAACAATATTGGTAGAGGTCTACCAGACAATGCCTTATGCAAAATATCTAAGCTCTAGGCCTATGGGTCTTTACAAAAAGGTATTTTAAGTTTTTACTATATGTACATATAGTGAAAATCAATGACCCCGGGGCGGGGCCGATTTTGACCCCAGGGCTATAATTTGAACAATCTTGGTAGAGGTCTACCAGACAATGCCTTATGCAAAATATCTAAGCTCTAGGCCTTTTTGGTCTTTACAAGAAAATTTTTTAAATTTATTCTTATAATTCCTTTTGGTTGCCATGGCAACCAGATTTCTGCATGGAATTAAATTCTTTGAACAACTTTGGAAGCCCTTCACCCAAGGATCAATCCTGCCAAGTTTGGTTGAAATTGGACAAGTGGTTTTTCACAAGAAGATTTTTTAAGTTCACTATATAATCTATATAACACACACACACACAAACAAACAAACAAACACACACACACACAGGTGAATCGCTATATGCCACCGCATCGCAGATGCTGGGGTGGCATTAAAAGAATCATTTTTCACATACACACCTTATAGTAGTGTCACTATAGTCACTATAGTGTAACACTAACATTAAGCATGTCTTTACACTATGTTTATATAACACAAATGACCTCACATCAAAATATACACACAGCCATGCAATACTTTTACTGAGTCACAAAAACAGCATGAGCATGTGATAAAGTAATATTTTGGTTAGCATTTTGCTAGTTTCTTACCTTATCAATCTAACATGGCTATTCTGTTGGCAGTTAATTTTTTTGCATTGTGATATTGAAATCCCTAAAAGTTTGAATGGACTGTTCCTATCTCGAAAACTGGGCAAAACCTTTGCATAAAAAATTTAGCAGGGTAACTGGCTTGTTCTAAAATTGTCATTAACAAGAGAACCAACACCATGACAAAACCAACGAAATTCGTTTGCGACCAGCATGGATCCAGATCAGCCTGCGCATCCGCGCAGTCTGATCAGGATCCATGCTGTTTGCTATCACTTTGTTTACTGGTAATAAGGTCTGTAAGCGAACAGCATGGATCCTGATCAGACTGCGCGGATGCGCAGGCTGGTCTGGATCCATGCTGGTCGCAAACCCATTATGTTGGTTTTGTCATGACCCGGGTCAAATAAATTTAGCAAAGAGGTATAATGACAATTCATTTTGCCGAGCATCTGTGACGCTACAGGACACAAATAGTAAGCCATAAATTAGTTTCAAAGATGGTATTTCATTAGTTTCATGCTATTGCAGCTTAAATCAGATCCTCTAATGTTCAATAAAAGACTGGAAGTATAATCAAAACTTTTTCTCATGATTTTAAAATGTCACCCTGACCTTTGTGCTCAGCTGAATTACCAGTTAGTGACAATTTTCCAGAATTTTTACTTGCCATTTTCTTAAATTGGCAATACTCTATTCTTAAAGTGATATTCGTGTTTATCAGGAGACAAACATTCTTGATTTCTATTTTGGAATCTTGTTTTGGGACTTAACTTCACACACACAAAAAGATGAAGACAAAAATTTATGTACTTTACAAATTTCAGTGCTTCATAGTATCTTTAGTTTAAGTTATATCCAGAAAATTTACTAAGTTTACAATAAAGAAGATCCTAGCAGGTCCTCGGCTACTAATAAGTTTGTCTCTGTGACCTACAGTCTTATACCCCTGAAGGCAATGTGCAAGGTTAAAGATCTTACAGTCTTTTATTTGCTATTTTCAGTCTTTTATTGGCTATTTCAGTCTTTCTTTTATTCACTATTTCAGTCTTTTATTTGCTGTCTTAGTGTTTTATTCACTACTACAGTCTGTTATTTCCTATTTCATTCTTTGCTGTAATGCTATTTCAGTCTTTTCTGTTTGTATCTGCTATTTCAGTCTTTTATTTGCTATTTCAGTTTTTTATTCGGTCTTTTATTCACTATTTCAGTCTTTTATTTGCTATGTATGCTCATCCTTACCTAAGAAGTTCTTAGGGAAGTCTTCAATCATACTTATTAAGAGTTATCAACAGTTTTCACTTACAATAATAAATATGATTGCAAACTTTAGAGTTGAATGAAAATGCTAAGGTGGGTAAAACAGATCCAACTATTCTCCAAATAGTCATTGACAAGTAAAAAGCCTAATAATAGAAATGGAAAATTATGATTGTAATTTCTTCTTTTCTTGTTATACGGAAATGAAGTGAGCGTTAATCCAAACAAGACTTACCATAATTTTTTCATGGGGTGCCACTTCATTGGTGTTGAACTGCGTGCAGCCTGCATGACATGGTGAAAAGTAGGTCAAACCGTTGATGCCGCATATAGGTTCAAGGTCATTGTTTGAACAATCACAGTACATGTTACACGTAGATGTCAGGTTAGCTTCAAATTCATAATCTTCCACTAGATTATAACCAGAACTGTAAGTAAAATTTTAGAAATAGGATTAGTTTCAACTAAACTGAAATCTTTTTGTATAATATCTAACTAAGCTTTTTATTCATAAATATAAAAATTAATGTTCCTATAGCTAATTATACAATTAATTTAATTTTATTGGCATTGTCTTTATTCCAAAATCTATTCTAGCTAATATATTGGAACAACTTGCCATATACCATATAGACCTAACAACAATAGTTTCATGTCTTTCATGTTTCATATACATCTAATGTTGTTTTTTTGCACCCCTCCTTTCAAGTAATTCTTATTTTTTTTTATCAGCTTTTATAACTATTACTTAACCCATCATAAGTCTATTCCAAATTAAAAGCTTCAAAATTCAATTATGAACCAGATTGACAATTAACCAGATTTTATAACAATCATTTCAAGTATGACATTATAGGAACAAAACTATTGCATTCCCCGAAAAAACAACCTAAGTACACACAACCTCGCAACAGACAGTTATAGTATTTCCATTGGAAATCGTCTGAATCATATCAATTATGAAATTATAGGAACAAAAATATTGCATTTGTCGAAAAGTAAGCAAATTTAAAATTCCAGGCATTTCACTCGAGTTATTATTAGTGAATCATGCAAGGGTAGAATTTTATTACTGTGAGGTTGGTTGATATTAGGGCTAGAGGAAATTTGAGCGATTTTCATCACTACGCCAAAATTTGACAATATTTCCGTGTCGCTAATTTAACCTCTTTTACAGTAGTAGATGTGACCTTTACTTTGTTGGATGCTGGTATCATTTCGATGCCAGAATTCATCAAGCTAAAATTTCTAAACAAGGAAAAGTTCTGCAGATTGTACACGAGTACAATCACCAACGTCTCAAAAGCTAGTTATATAGCTTCTGGGAAAACTTGATTGTCAGTAAATAAGACATTGTTTACAGTTTGTTTTCTTTATTGACACTAATCTCTACAAACATAGGAAGTGACAGTACATTAACAACATAAACAAGTACTTTGTGCAAAGTCACATTGCATTAAGTCAGTAAAATTAATCACAAGGTTATAGACTGTTTACCATATTGTTAAAACAATATATAGCATAGCCTAGTAAACCTGCCGTCAAATACCCACAGTTGATAAACATTTAATCAAGCCATGGGTAAAATGAATTGATTTGCGCTGATATGCGTAAAATATCAACCAATGAAATAGCATTTAACAAAATCTGTATTCTTCAATGGTGCAAGTAAAAACTTTTTCAGCAACAGTAAATTTTCAATGCTTTTATTGCTGGAAATCATTCACATTTTTAATACTGAACTTTTTACAGCTGAATTTAATTTGTTGCCATATTTTTGTCTGTAATATCAAACATCATAAAGAACGAGCAGTTTGATTGGTTTTAGTCATTTCAAGAAGCAACCAATGAAAAATCTGTGTTTGACAGTCACCTCAAATCGACTGGATATTGGACAAAAATAGCACAGCTGAAAAATGCTAATGGTTCAACCCTTGGTATCCAACGATGAGTAAACAAATCTTCCTGAACACATTAGTAGATATCTTTCAAAGTCAATTATTTCACTGAATGGGCCAGCAAATTTAATGCCTAGCTTTGTTACATTACAATTGTATGGTGTAAAGAAAATTAATCTTACCTGTTAAAGTAAGGCAATGTGGCTCCAGCAATTTTTAGATTGTCACAGCCAAGGAAAAAGAAAAATCCGCATCCAATCAGTGCTAAAAGATCAAGCAAGATTGTCAGCTGTATCGCACCTGTAAAAGTGAAATAGTGTTAATTGAATAAATAAATTGTTAATTAACAAGATAAAAAACTTAATTGGACCTGAAAAAATGTAAAATTTTAATGAATAATTAAACAGGTCTAGCAAGAACTAAATTACACAGGAAATGTAAATGCTGACACTGTAGATTGGGAAATGTTCAGGAGATTTTCATTTTGGCTAATATTCACAATTTGAACAAATTATGAAATGTCAAGACTGGATGTTGATTCCTGAATAATCAGAGAAGTTGTGACCCACTTGCTGAGAATAGACAGGCAATGGAAGTGTTCTTATATTAACTAAATAGCTGAAATCAATACTGCTGTGTCCAAAACAATCACAAAAGTCAGAGATCCTCTTTCAGAATTAAAAGAAAATCACATGAACTGGATGAAATGTTAATGCAAATTTGAGCTTAAGTTTGTAGAATATTCCTGACTCATTTGTTAAGAACATGGATATTTCGATGGACAAGCAGGCTGATTGACCGCTCAACCAGAAAACAATATTCCTCAATAGGATTGCTGAGAATATAATTACATGCGTCCAGAAGTGGTTAGACCATTCTGTCAATTATTTCAGATACTTTGGGAAATATTGGATGTCAACTGTCTTAAGTGTCAGGGAAGGAAGTAAGGTTAAAGGCATAATGATGTAAAAAAAACTATAGGATATACCCTTAAAATAACTATAGGATAAACAAGATTTTGAGCTTATCATAGGCTCAGTCACACTTCAGAGCATCAGGAGTTAAAAATACTTTAAAACAGATTCCAGCTCATTTCAGTACACAGCTCATTACAATAGAAAACTGTCAGAAAAAAACAACACAGACCGATCCACAACAAACTCTGTAAAAAAAAATTTAAAAGCTAGACAACTCTACCTATCCTTTGAGAGTATAGCACCCACAGACAACTTAATTGTTAAGACCTTACTTATAGCTAAGACTTTTTTTTTGTAACACCATGTGACACATCAGAATGCAATATGACAAGGACTCCAACACAGAAAACAACATCAAATTAATTTCTGTTTACTGTCAGTAAAAAATGCTGTCTCAGCAGATTTAGCCAAGAAAACTATAGACAGAAAAGTCAACAGCTTTCTTGAATTTTGTTACAACCATTCCATCACCTTACAAGACATTTCCTTACTCCTGGGAACATTTAAATGCAATCATTCAGTTAGAAAATTGAAACTGTCTATACACGAAAGAGAGAGAGACAGAGATTTAACTAGGTCCTGATGTAATGTTTCGCCTTCCTTAAATGTATTTTCACTGCACATTTTCTCATCTCTAAAAGATGAACGGGGCAATTTATCTAATAAAGATAAATACTACCTCTACAAACTTCTAAGCTCTTTTTTTAAATGAACATTTGACTGCCTTGTAATGCACTTTTCCTTTTCTATGTTATATATTTTTGTAATAGCGCTTTCAGAACTGTCCACTATTTCACTAACAGAATTAAAAAGGATCTTAAATTTATTTTTTTTTGGTCAGGTTTTACATTGCACCAATACAGTATATGTCATCATATGGGAACTATCCAGCTTTACTGATGGAAGAAAACCTCAGTCTCCTTTCTGTGCATTATTTCAGGCATGAATTGGGACCTAAGTAGAACCATCGATGTTCCCTAAGCTAGATGGATAGCTTCCTCACATGAAGGAATTAGTCCAAATTCCCTTTCAGAATTCGAACCCACAGTGGTGAAGGACAAGTGGTTTGAAGTAAACAACCTTTACCTTTCTGACATGGCCACCCATTGATCATAATAATAAATAAAATGTTAAAGTTTCAGACAGACATCTGGCCTAGTGGTTCAGGTGTCAGGTGCCTCTCAACCCAGAGATCATGGGTTTGAACCCTACTCAGGCCAAGACCATGTTTCTTCATATGACACCAGAACTGGTTGGTTCCAGGAGGCAGACTCAAAAGTCATAAATACTTGTTTCGCAATTGAGCTTAAATTAATATGTTTAAACCAATCTAATTCTATTGACATAGCTGGGGGGACCCCATGAATCTATTGTCACAGCTTCCCTATGGATCTATTGTCACAGCTTTCCTATGAACCTATTGTCAAAGCTTCCCTATAAATGTATTGTCACAGTTTCCTTATTAATGTTTTGTCACAGCTCCCTATAAATGTATTGTCACAGCTTCCATATGAATCTATTGCCACAGCTTTCCTATAAATGTATTGTCACAGCTTCCATATGAATCTATTGCCACAGCTTTCCTATAAATGTATTGTCACAGCTTCCATATGAATCTATTGCCAAATGTATTGTCACAGCTTTCCTATTAATCTATTGCCACAGCTTCCCTATGAACCTATTGTCAAAGCTTCCCTATGAATCTATTGTCAAAGCTTCCCTATGAATCTATTGTCACAGCTTCCCTATGAATCTATTGTCACACCTTCCCTATGAATCTATTGTTAACATTAATCATGTACCTTGCCGCAATCAGCACGAATAATTAAAGTTATATTGACAAATTTGCAAGCCTTAATCTTCCTATTTTGAAAAATAATTAACTTATAGCTCTTACCAATTTATTGAAATTGGTAAGATATGCCCAAGCTAGGAACAAATTAATTCTGTATCACGTCTGAAAACAGCCCAAGGATTTTCCCTTACAAATGTAGACCTAATGAAGGATGGCGTTTAGAACTGTCATCTTGTTATAAAGACATTTTCTTACAACTCAGAAATAAATTAAAATATAACTGTTCTGAAGAAAAAGCAAAATTTGTATTTTAAAACTGTTCTCATTATGAACTTTTGAGAGCATGTGAAATGCTTATCACAAGGAACAAGCATTGCTGGATGTTGTTTATTTTCTAATTTACCATAAAAGCAAAAAAACTTCTATAAAAGTGGTATTTAGGAAGTAACCAGTTACAGCACTAAGGTGACAATACCTCTTACCACGCTGAATATTAGAAATGGACTTCATGACCATCTTTCAACCTGGACATTATGAACCATCCAGCATTTTGAGCCAAAAAAACAAAACAAAATAAATATTGACTGATCTTCGTCTGCACTGTTTGCTAGGTTAGATTCGATTTGAAATGCCAGGAAGATAAAAGGCTAAATGCTGAGAGCATGAAAAATGGAACTGTCTTTTTTTACCTTTAGGTCCCATCTGAAACCTCTTCAGCAGGAATCCTCCCATAAGCACTCCAAAAACAGCACCAGGTATTGCTATTCCACCTATAAAATATTTACATAAAATAAAGATCTGGTTATATGTACAGACTATTTTCCTATTAAAACATAGCTAAGAACAGGAACATTGATACTATAATGAGCCGCGTCACGACAAAACCAACATAATGGTTTTGCGACCAGCATGGATCCAGACCAGCCTGCACATCCGCGGAGTCTGATCAGGATCCATGCTGTTTGCTATCAGTTTCTCTACTTGTAATAGGGTTGGTAAGCGAACAGCATGGATCCTGATCAGACTGTGCGGATGCGCAGGCTGGTCTGGATCCATGCTGGTCGCAAACCCATTATATTGGTTTTGTCATGACGTGGCTCATTTTCCAAGGAATCAATGTCTCAGCCGGCAAAATGAGAATAAACTCAATAAAGCTGGAATATTGTGAAATGAAATAGTTGAAATTTCCGCATCAAATTTATCACCATGTTTGTGCCATTCAAGAATACCAGTATAAGTTATCACAATAATCATATTATATAACATCACAAGGGTATTTCTCCAGCATATGAAATCAATCATTTCAACCCCCCCTATCAGTGATTTTCCTCCTTATAGAACAGAGGCCAATAAAAAGCCTCTACCCAAATGAAATTTTCTATCAAATCCTGCAATTTCCCCAAAAATCTGAACTTACCCCAGCTTTTTTTACTTCCCATATTAGCAATTTTAGCAATAATTTTACCCAAATAAAGGGACAGGGGAGAGATTAGCTCAGTAAACCCCTCATTCTGCGCATTTCCGATAACATCTAGTGACTGCTAACGGTAAGTATTGACAAAAGATTGTACCTGTGAAAAGCGAGGCCTCAGATTTAGATGTCCCAAATTGCGTCTCAATATATTTCGGCAGGAAAACTACAAATCCACTAACTATAGAGATTTCACAGCAGATGCCAAAACTTGTTACCAGGTAGATCTTGTTCTTCAGCAGACTTGCAATGGACTTTGGAATGTCTGGAGAAAAAAATCATACAAGGTTATAGTACAAGGTTAAAGAATGTCGAGGCTTTTGAATAATTGCTGGTATGACTGTCATAAATAGTTTTGTACAAAGTTTTGGATATACAGTAAAACCTATGATTAGTCGCCGGTAGAAACCGGCGACTATATTTGTAACAGTTTAATATTATACCTATGGTAGGAGAAGGCATTAATTTCTGTAAATAAAAGCATAACAATTACTGAACAATTAAAGACTACAATTGTTTTCAGTAATCTCAAAAATTCAAACATACAATAATGTTGCCAAATGAAATGAAATATTCAAATACTGACATCGTAAAAAGCAACATTACAATATTTATAAAATGAATTAATGACGTATCCCTATGGACCAGTCATTGAATTTAGGGATGCTTTTACTTTTTTAAAGTGTCAAGCCTTGCTATTTTATGATAAATAAATCATGCATGATATTTGAAATGACACTTTTAAATTATCTGGCTGTTTGTATCTTATGAGACCTATTCTATTTTTTATCTTATTTATTATAAACAGTTTCTCCCAGAATCACGTGACTACTAGTACACGTTGTATGTTATTGTTATGGAATCTATTAATAGTAACAATTAAATGGCTGATAAGATAGATATACAGGTAACATGTGAATGGTAAAGTGCAAATCAAATTAATTTTGTATGAAAAATCTCGGTATGACGGTAGGGGTCGGAATCGAAGAAAACGAATAAACTATCTTTGTGTTGATAGTTTATCGCACTGAAAGGCAATTATTTAAACATTAACTTTATCGTATGTAACGACAGGAATATTGATTTCAGCTAAATGATATATTTTTTCGATAGTGCATAAGAATGATTTGTTTATGCAGACACCACTTTTACAGTAGAATTGCATTGTTTTATGCAATAATTAAGCATATATATTTTCATAGTCACTTTGCAAATATTCGATGATCGGTAATAATTTGTCGGTAATTACCGGATGCTGAAGAAAACCATACGTACAACGGTATATGTATAAAGTAGAATTACAAATAGAATCATAATCATATCACTTGCTTTACAAGCCTCGATGACAAAGTGTTAGATTTAAAGTTAGTTTCAAATTGAAGACTGTAGGTTCGATAAAGTGATTTTTTATGTTTTCTTTTATAATACTTTTTGTATTTTGCAAAACTTGACCGTTTATCAAAATTATGAAATAAAAAAGTGCTAGAAATGAAACACAAGATTTATCAACTTATGTTTCAAAAGTTAAAAGATATAATAAAAATCAATTTATGAAAACTACACACAGGATTTGTCCGAGATTCGAACTTGCGCCTACTACATGTAGGTTACAACTTTGTCATACTTACCACTAGGCCATCGAGCAGTATTAATTGATATAATTATACATGTAATTATACTTACGATAAAATCGTTAACATTAATCATAATAAGTTATAAGTTATGTAAGCAAACGAAACAGCTCCCGAAAATTATTGAGTCTCGGGTAAATATTGCCAAACAATACTTGCTTATTTAATAATGATAACAGTTTCTTGACAAAATTGCTAAGCAAGTTTGATTCAAATATGATATTTTATTATAACATAAGATATTTTTTTTGCATAAAACTCTCAGCAAGAAAGATATAATTGTGGCATGTAAATAAAAACATGTTAATGAATAAACATTACTCAACTTATTGTTCCTCTTTTCTTTATACTCGGACCATTAAACTGATATTAACTTATATTTATGATAATACAATCATATTTCTATCCGGCGACTTGATGCTTTAGCATCAAAATCTCTACTTGTTCACCTATAGGTTGTATTGTAAATCTACAGTGGCTTTGTCATTGGGCAAGTAATAGAAAGAGCATCGAAACACAAGCATAGCCTCCCAGTATTATAAAATCAGATTGCCAAGTGTTTTGATGTTCTTTCTCTTTTTGTATCATAGGCAAAATTAAAACACGTTCCCTGTTGTCAAAATATAACTAATACCTGCACTCACCAGCATACATTTCAATTTACCAAAAAAAAATATCATACATTTTAAAACACTAGCATAGGTTAAAATTTCTTACTTAAAATATACATTTCATACCATCATTAAAAATCACCCACATTATTTTATTATCAATATCATACATTTTTAATTACCCTAATACACCTTTCACGCAATCATATAAATGAAGCAATGCCTTAACCATATTCATACAGTCTAAACCATAAAACCTTCAAAATGATGAAAATTTACGGAGCTTATCAACCTTAAAATGACTTCAAAACCCAAAGCAGCTTTTAATTTCTAGAAATATTAATTCAACCTCCTATTATCCCTCCATTAAATCAGTGCCCAAGAGTGCTAGAATCAATTTACAGAGAAATGAAAGCATTTGTGGATAAACTTAATAATACTCTAAGGACAGACAGAGTTAAATCTGCTAAAGAATGTCTGTGGGCATAATTATATATACAAGTGCATTCCATTCTATTTACCAATAAATCATTTCTGTGATTTTGTTTTTCACTGCCAATTTAGGTACTTTGGTAAACTATATAGCATTTTCAATTACATGGACAAAGATTTCAATACAATGGGCAAGGACGACAGATTGTGAGCAATTTGCTGTTTCTTCTTTTCTCTATACTAAGCAAGATTGGTTTTAAGTTACTTTGACATTCTATTAAGGGCATTGAATTATTTGGCCGCCACCAACCTGTCACACAGCCTCAGACAGCAGAGCAATTTAACACAAAATGCCACCTTTTGAGTTATTTAAGGCACAAGAAACCACATGGGTTAAGATTCAGAGAATTTCAATATTCAAGCTGAGTAAAATTTTAGCTCAATCATAGTTCATGAGGAATTTAAACTCTCAGCAAGTTCTGGCCATGCAAACTGTTCACTCCTGGCTGTAAGCAGGATGGCATATTATACATACTCCACTGATGATTTTGCTGGTACTGGAAATAATTTTAGTTTAGTTAGTGTACCATTTGTTAAAGTCTAGATCAATAACTTGTCTGCAAAATTTCAGATCATTTGCTCACTCCATTTTTCCAAAATAATAATTCTTATTGTGAAAAATAACAGAAAAATGAAAAACGTTGCAGCGTCGCTTTTCACTCAAATTGGGATAATAATAGCGCAAAAATATGATTATCAATTCATTTCTGAGTATTTTTCTTCATTTTCTTTTGTTGTGTTTTAAGTGCCCCAACTTGACATATGTAAGAAATTCATACTTATCATGTTTTAAGGCTTTTAAACCTCTGAGTTCCTTTGATAAATAAACAAGTTCTTTATTCAAGGCAGGTTTCTATTAAACAAATATGGCATGATTACATTTCATATCTTAACCACAAATCTATGAGCTTAACAATGGGATATAAAAGTGGAAGATTATCCAGTTGAGAACAGTTCTCTCATTCATATGCATGTCATCTTATCATATTGTAGGCATCCAGGAAGAGTGTAAAAGGTATAAAAGGTTAAACAGAAGTAATATATTCCAATAATTGCTCTCAATCCCATGCTATTTACTCATAATAGAATTAAGGTCCTCTGCAGCAATAATATTGTTTTGACTGGTTCCAGAATTTAAAGCTGTTTTCCTTGTGATACTAATATACTGAATTGAAAGTGCAAAAAAAAATAGTGTTAAACCAGTCACCTGAGGTTAATATGCATGTCATTTAATCATAAAAGAAGCATCCACCAAAGAGGTTTATAGATTTCAGTAATTGCTTTCCATCCAATTTTACTGATATTGATTCTTATTGATTATCAAAAGGACCTCTTTTGACTGGTTTACAGAATTAAAGTATTCCATTGAGGGAATTGCAAAAACCAGTCACCATAAACTACAAACAATTTACCCTCAAAATGCCAAAACCAGTCTGTAGGTAATTGCAAGACCATTCATTTTTCCATCAGGCACAATCATAACCACCACAATGTAAGGAGGCTTTACTAATGTCTTTACTATTGATATACTATTAGGCCTTTCATAAAAGATACTTAAAAACATCATCAACTTTTGTGCCAAAAAATACTATTTAAACTATTGCTAAAAAATTCCTAAAGCACATTGTTAGCAATATTTTTTAACTGTCTACCATAAAGTGATTATTAGCCTTTGCAATTTGACTGTTCTGGTGGCTATATTTCATTTATTTTAGTACTGAAATCCCTTACAATTAAATTTGGAATATTTAGCAGTTAAAAACCAACAACAAAACAGTGTTGTTCATTTCTGATATATATCCTGAAGAAGAGTAATAATTTTTGTCGAAAGCTATGAAAAACATTTGTTTTTATTGAACAGATAACAAGAGGGCCATGATGGCCCTGAAGTCGCTCACCTGTATATAGGCCTCCCCACCCCACCCCCTGGCAGGGCCAATTTTAACCCAAGGGCTTTTATTTGAACAAACTTGGTAGACACCCATAAGAAGATGTTTCATGCTAAACATCTAAGCTCTAGCTCATTGGGTTTTTTCAAAGAAGTTATTTTAAGTTTTTACTATACACATATAGTTAAAAACAATGACACCCCTGGGGCGGGGCCAGTTTTGACCCCAGGGCTTTTATTTGAACAAACTTTGTAGACACTTACTAGAAGATGTTTCATGCTTAATATCCAAATTCTAGCTATTTGGGTTTTTTCACAGAAGAGTTTTAAGTTTTTGCTATACACATATAAGGAAAATCAATGACCCCCGGGGCAGGGCCAATTTTGACCCCAGGGCTTTTATTTGAACAAACTTTGTAGACACTCACTAGAAGATGTTTCATGCTTAATATCTAAACTCTAGATATTTGGGTTTTTTCAAAGAAGGTTTTTTAAGTTTTTGCTATACACATATAAGGAAAATCAATTACCCCCAGGGCGGGGCCAATTTTGACCCCAGGGCTATTATTTGAACAAACTTGGTTGGCACCCATTAGAACATGTTTCATGCTAAATATCTTAGCTCTAGCTCTTTGAGTTCTTT